TCCTAGAAAATACATTCTAATTTATGTGCCAGTGGGGCCATATACATATGTATTTTAAGGTCCTTGTATGTATTTTAAGGTAACATTTTCTGTTGATATAAGATGACTGAAAAAGAAGTAGAAGTGTGCCATACTTTAAAAACCTAAATCACAATAAACTAATGAGTATAACCAGCATGCAAAGATAATCAACAAAGCTTGTTCTATCATTCTTGCGGGACATGGGAATCCTTTCTTTCATACAGTAAGAATCTAAACAGAATTTAAATGCCTCTCCTCGGAGAACGTGTTCAATAAGACACCCTAACTGCAAGGAATTTGAATGGTCTGATCTTTTCAGAAGGGTCTAGAGAGAATTAAAAATCTTACACTGCTTGGAACACTGATTTTAATTCTTCTACTAAGATTTTATAAGAGGAAAACAGACTTTTAGAGGAACCTGGATTAAAGCCAACTAATATGACAAGTAAACAGATCACAGGTCATGCTATTCATGCTCTGGCACAGTAAAACAGTAATCACACCTGAAACTTTAAATATTAATAGTCACTTCCACAAATTTCAGAAGTACATGTGAAGAAGGTAAAAATTAGTTTTTTCTTTCTAGATTTTAGAAAGTTAGCTACTAACATCTGACTATATTTAACTGCATGCTCTATTACATAGTTGCTGCATGAACAAATAACTACTGGCAGGTTTAAACAGGCAAGAGAGCAGGAAAAAGTACAGGGATAGTAAAACTTCAGAGAAAACAGTCCCGACAGAAACCTGAACGGACTTACCATGGATTCTGTTCTTCCAACAACAGAAAACCACATTTTGATCTCCGGGACTACAGATCCTTGAAAGACAAAAAACAATTCTCCACTTCTCTTCCAGCCCTCAACAGCAACCACCAGCTCTAGTCTGCTGGATTTTCCAAAACACCCATCAAGATAACTGGGAGCTTGATGCTATGACACAGTGTAGCATTTATCAACACCAGCTATAACCAATACAATATTCAGACCTTACGTAATCAGTTATGCTGTTCTGACTTCCATTTACTTTAGAGGACTTATTAAACCCTGAAAACTGCTAGAAAAAACAAAAAGGAAGCCCTTTTGTACTAAAGACAAAAAAAATCTCCAAATTAAACAGGAAGTAATGTGCTGGCCAACAGATGGCTAAGAAGTCACATGTGAAAGCCCCCAAAAAAGTGATATATTTTTAAAGTAAACTGCATGCACACGCAGCTTCCAAATCATCTGGATTTCATAAAAACTTAACCACAATGTGGTTGGGAGTCTGGCAGCTTTTAACATCAAAACATCTTTCAGAGTTACAGCAACCAAAGTCTGCACACAACCTCAAAAAGCAACACTGTTCCCTATGCCCGACCACTCCTACCAACTACATTTCCATATTCCATTACAAAAGCTCTTGCTAATAAAGCTACAGAGTATTACTGTAAGAAAACATGCAGTATCTACCAAAGGGCAGAACAAGAAGTTATTCTTCTGGATCACATATGAAACTATACACTTTAATTTTAAATAAAAATAAAAATTGGTTTAAAGCATTCCGTTTAAAAATTGCTGTTACGTATTTTCCAAATTCATTAACAAAACAAAACAAAACCCAAACAAGCACAACACTGTTTACAATGCTCTGGAAGCTAACATCTGTTTCATAAGTAAACTTGTTTTCTCTCCTATGTTTGCATATAGCATATGCACTTACTACATGTTTGCTCAGAGGGGCTGTCCTGCCTCAGATAACACCAAAGTGAGGTGAATTAGGTGATGCACTGAATTTCTGCTCTCTCTGGCACTCCTGACAGGCCTTTAAAATTTCTCATCAAATAAAATATGAGTAGTTGTGATTAGAAAGTGAAAGTAGTAACGCACTCAAACATTTTACCTGTCTCTGGGTGGGAAGAGGATCAAAGACAGGGTTCCCCAGGGACCTGACACTTTCATATACTCCTTGACTCACCTCTTTAGGTTTTGTTTTGGTTTTAATTACCTCAATGTATACATTAATGTATACATTTGCAATCACCTAGTATCCCAAGGTAATACTTCTATCACAAGAATAAGCAGGTGCACAGCATTTCAATGCAAGTTGCATTCCTTCTCGGCTTGTACAACCTTTGCTTCAACTTCAATCCTTGTTTTTTGATTGCAGAAGAGAAGGTGTATCACTTGATAATTAGGAATATTTGATGTAAAGGTATTATATAAGGTATGAATTTTGTCATTAGAAACTCTTAATTGGCACAGGCTTTAAGCCAATAAAACCTCAAAACTAATAAAAATTCAATCATTAGATTACAAAATTTTCAGATGTTTCCTCAGATATGAACAGAGATTTACTAGGAAAGCACATATTTTTTTGCAATGGGTAGAAGGAAGAAAAACAGTCCATTGGTATTATTTTTCTTTACCCACCTCTAGAATATTATCAAGCTGCATCTTAACAAACTCAATCCAAAGCCCGTGACAAGTATGAGAAGCCCCGTAACAAGAAAGGCAGGTCAGCACTGACATGCAAAGGTATACACACGTTACTGAAAGCAAGTACTTTGTCACATCACAGGAAAAGAACTGTTTTCCTAACAAAAGCTAAACAGATTCAGGGTTGTCCTACACTGGTTGGAGCAGGGCCTGTTGACCAGCTTCATTTTCTACTGCAACAGCCCTTTCAAAGCACTGTAGAAACCAATAGTTCATTATACACAACTGGGTCAGCAATCAAACAGGGATCCTGTGCAGGGCAGCAGCAACTAGGTATTTCTGAAAGTATGAGCTTTCATTTCTACAACTTTATAAGCACCTAATAACCAACCTCTTACTATCAGAAAGTTTAGAAAAATCTGAATCTACTCTCATATTTGCCTCTCCCTCTCATTTCAGGCATTCCATCCAGTTAATGTTTAGAAAATTTTACAAATAGTCTGTTGGACTTCGTCCCACCTTTTTCAAGTTAAAAATGAAAATTTTAACTATTATGCTGCTAAAAGATATACTACTTGAGACATGTAGAAAAATATGCTAGTAAATGTCAACAATCTAAGGAATAGAAAGAAAAAATGCACCAACCCTTGCTAGCTTCTCAGTCACACTCACTCAATTCTCTAAGCTGTTCTGCTCTGACCAGACTGAGAAAATTAATGCTTGTGTATTCTTTGTATTCTTCTTTACTATTTTTTTTAATGAAGCCTATTACAGGAAAAACACACTGATAATTACTCACAGTAAGCAACTTTGAACCTCTTGAAAATAATCCTACTTAACTACTACAGCAACTTGTTTCAAACAATGCATAAGATCATTTCTATACAATGAACATTCTGACTACTTCATATTAAGCAGAAGTTTCTATTGTACAAACACCAAAACTAAAACAATCCGTTTCTTGCTTATTTCAGAGCAAGATTTAAAACATGACTGTTTTTATATCAGAATTCCAATATCAGGACAGCACACAGCAGTAAGATAAAATAGGACTGCCTGAACCAATGTTTCTGCAACTGTGCAGATGAAAACTCTTCCTTCTGTGACTGATCAGGTATTCTTTTACAGATGTCAGAAATCATGAAACACATTAAATAACTTGTAAAAAACTTTCAGATCAAGCTTATACACTGACCAGTAGCACTCTTACATACTGCTAATGGAAGCTAAATATCAGTTGTTAAATCAACATCTAGAAGCCAGCCAGTTGGATGAAAAAGGAAACTTTTCCCCCTGTAATATGCTGCTTCACTCTAGATGAGAAATTAAGATTTCAGAGTAAAGTGAAAAAAAATTACTTCAATGGCACATTTTGAAACATTCAACAGAAATGCAGATGGCAGTACGAAGTCTGATACAGATTTAATCCAGTGTCAAGAACAAGTATTTGCTTCTCAAATTATTAACACATTCCACTAAAATCAGAGCAGAAAATTGAATTACATTTCCCAGATCCTGAACTGCTTCCTCAATAATTGCTGATTGTTTAGAACTATACACCTGACACCAGGTACTCCTTTACAGATGTCAGAAATAATTCGTAAAAACTGATACCATGCAAGATTACAATTTCAAGAACAGACTATGAAATGAGTGAAGGTTGTAAAAAAAACCAAAAAAAACCAAAAAACCAAACAGTGCTGTTTAGAAACAACTGACTGTGTGAGGTAACTTAATCCTGTTTTCAGCTCATGCACTGAGTGCCAAGGAGTACCGCAGCATTCTGAAGTTCCACGTACTACACAGCGAAGAGACATTAGGAAAGACTTGTTCCATCTATTGTACACCACCTAATCACAACACAGACCTTTCAGTATCACTGTTGCATAATTTATAACAAGTTTTAAACTCAAAAGATTAAGTCTTCTCATATCTCATTCAGTTAATAAAGCAAAACCAACCAACTAGAAGAGTCTTCCATCTGGTGGCTGGAGCTGAATGTGCATTCTATACATGACTACGTAGTGCTACTAGCTACACACCACCGTAGCTACTAGCTGCAGCATACACCCACAATTCAGGCTATTACACTGTAGGTCTCCACTGTAAAGAAACAAAACTGAATCCATTCTTGCTCCTCTGTGCAAAAGAAAAGGTGTTGTCTTCATGGCAGAAAGTACTCCAACTTTAATGTATACATTTGAATTGTTTTACTTATTCCTCAATTAACCCACAAACATTCTTTGCATCTACTTCTTCCAGCAGAAGTGCTAAATACACCTGTTTATTAATTCTGTTTAATAATGGCTAACTTTTGCCTCTGAAAAAACTGAATAAACCTGTAGCAGAGGTTTGAAGTGTCGTAATAACTACATCTGTATTATGTTTTCCTTTGTATTGTCCACCTGTACATTTTACAGAAACATTTCCCAATCAGAATAAAAGCAGGATCAACACATCAACACAATGTGTACAAACAACTTAAGGGAAACAGACTTTTTCCATTAACATTTTCCACAGCAGGCTTTTTTCAGTAAGACTTAAATAAACTGACTTCCATACCTTGGCAGCAACGATGCTCAGTCCCATTCCATTTTGTTTTTTTAGTGTTACAGTGATAATTTCAGGTTCTTTTCTCAGAGGCTGAGCCTATCAAATAGTGAAGGGGAAAGAAGAAAAAATTCCGAAGTTCATATTCACTGCCAGGCTAGGAAAGTAACTAAGCAAAATAGTTAATTACAAACAAAACTACTTTGTTAGAGCAGCAGGTCTCACATCCTAAATAATATATCTGGTATCTATTTTACAGGTAGAATCCCTAACATTTAATTAACATGGATTCATATTAAGTACTACACCTGTGTTATACTACACTGCTGAAACTTGAGGTCTACTCATTGTTCCTCCTTCTTTAATTCAGTAAAGAGATTATTAATGAATCACAAATCAAAATGTAACCAGTCTATAAAATTGTAGTAACTTTTAATGAAAACTGAAGTTCAGACTCCACAGACCCCTATTACAAAGGTGAGGGTGATCTACAGAGAGACCAATTTGTAGTGCTGCATCTAGAAAATATTATCTTCGCAGAATTATTAAGAAGCCAATTAAATTCAAAGGCAGAATTAAATCTTTGAAATGAAGTTCCAAAAAATTTCACTTCTGAATACTCTTGAATACAGCCAGAGTCCCCAAACATGCTCAGTCTTTTTTTTAAATATATCTTTCAACATCGACAGTTCCTCAACTCAAAAAGTCGTCATCACAATCTTCATTAGCTGAAGAATGTCAGGTGGAGCACATTAGCTTGTGTTCACACTGAAACAGAACTGTAAGTTCCACAAGACCCATGACAAGCAAAAATATAAGCCAAGAAAAGTAATTTTAAAAAATAGTACTTTCTGATTGAGTTCAAGTATTAGAAATGCAACTAGTTTTTAAGCTGAAAACACTAATTAAAATATGATGCTATTTCTGTTTAGTTGCTCTAAAAAATATTTCACATAAAGCCACCATCTTTCCAAAACCAAGCTGTTCTGTAACTTTGATAATCAGACAAGCAGAAAAAAGCCACCACAAAACAAACAAACCCTTACAACAGAAAAGAAAAAACCCTTACCTTGCACTGAAGTGAGACCCTTTTTAGTAAGTATAATATAAAGGAAAACCAAAGATGTTTTGGGTTTTTTTTTTTTTTTTTCAGGAATAAGTACCAGACTAGAACTTTTAATATTAAGTATTTGGTTGGTAACTGCCAATTTGTAAATAAAAGCAGCTTGCAGTTCTTTAAGTTATAGATCCACATCCATATATATTTTTGCTTGTGTTTAGAAGAAATTTCTTCACTGTTTATTCTAAAACTGGGGGAATATGATATAGTTTACTTATGTGAAAATTATAATCATGCTACAGCCTAGAAAAACAGTGACTTAAAAAAATTTCCAAACAGTTCCTTAAATGCACCAATTCACTAATGAACTATATGTTTAACAATGAAGCCTATTCTTCCTAACAAGGACTAAAACTGATCACATAAAACTCAATGCCTTGCCAAGATTGCAGTCAGTCATTATTCACTGAACCAATACTTACCAGCTCAGCATTCTCATGGGGCATGTGACTTTCGTAATCTGCACCCTCAAAATATATTGTCCATGTGCCTGGTGACCGTGGATGAGGTGTTAGTCTACAAAAACCTAAAAGAAAAAGAAAAAGTAACATCAATATAGTAATGGTATTTTCTCAAGGGATTAATTAAAATAAAATAGTATTAATCTTTTTATGTTCATTAACATGTCAAATCTCATATCTCAGATGCCGTTATGGGCTTTGCTGCAATTTTTTGCTACTACCTACAAAATCCTGTAGGAAGCAACAGTTCTATAGCTGTTGCTTCTCAGAAGCATACTTATTTAAAAACACTGCAAACTCATAGAAAACTCCGGGGAAGCAAAATATTGCTTTTACCAACCAGATTCAGAAGAGATATGAAACACCAAATAATCTTTTAGAATACAAACTACCAGAACTCTGATTAAAACAGGGCTACAGAAATCTACTTTGCAGAGGGACTAGCTAACCAGTCTCAGCACAGATTTAACAGAAGAGAAGCTCTGTGTGCATTCAATATGGTTTTAAATGCAGCACTGCAATTGACAGGTATTTAGTTTGATTTACTTTTTTTTATTTGAAAAATTCCTAGAATTTTGAAAAACAAGCAACAGCAGTTCAGAAATATCAAACATTTTTGCCTAAATCAAGGACATTGAGAACAAACATCACACAGAAATTATTAATCACTCCATCCAAATGTATTATATTCTCCTCGTCATAAAGATAATTTTTCAGCAATTCAGTTTACACTGTTTCACTCCAAAAAGTCCCTCAGCATAATGTAAGGGATACCCAAAAAGCAAAATTTTGAACATATGCATTAAAAGAGCCTTACTTATAATGAATGTACAGACATTTTTATGACAACTGACTTATACTTACTAATTAAATAATTTATTCTACTAAGCTCCTTTAGTCTCAAAACTTCATCCTCTGTTACTAACTGGACTTTCAAAACAGTCAGTTTCCTACTTTTCTTTTAAATGCAAGAGTATAGCTTTTGTATAAACTAACTTGGAAGCAACAAGTAGTACAGAGTAAGTCTGCTGTACAGAGTAAGTCTGTAGTACAGAGTAAGTCTGCTTTTTCAATCGCCTCCTTTGCTACAGCCTCTTATTTACCTTGACATTCCTGTACAAGTTTTCTTTTTAAACAACTGCTTTTAAGCAGAAAATCAAGAAATTCTAATAAAATTGAGTAGCACCAAATAAAGATTGTAACTTTTTCATTTACTGAAATGCTTAGACAGACCCCCTGCTTTAATTTCATGAGTTTAAGTCAGTTTCATGCAACCACAAGATCTATCATCTACTTGTGATCTGAAATTCTGTTGGACTACAAATACCCAAACCATAAGTTCTTACACTGACCAACAGTGAAAGCATTATTTTAACCTCATGGGCTTTTTTAATGTTACATGGAAGCAGCTGATGAGAAAAAAAAATTATTTTAACTATTCAATTCACATTAATTTTAAAAATCAAAACAGTTTTGGAGAAAAGGCAAAACAGTATTTCAGCAGGCTCTAGTAACTCAGCACTACTTACTTAGAACCTTGAAAATGAAAGAAAGGGACAGGGAGAAAGGTTAAGGATTTTAAAAAGCCTTAATTTTAATGGCTTGCAAAAGCACACACTTGAAGAACACAGTATAAAAAGATTAAATCATACACAAAGTGGCTTACACTTTACTAAAATACATTCTGCACTGTGTGTTTGCTATGCAGATCATTGCAAAACAACAGAAGAACTAACCTCTTTGACAGAGTGGATCTAAAAATTCTTGCAAACCGCTTGGAACATTTCTTACAACATCACAGGAATAGCCATCTTCCGGTAAGAGAAAAGGTAGGTGTAAGTCAGGATCCTCTTCCAGCTGAACTTCTCGGCCATCACTGCGAGCAAGTTCATCCGCAGTATTTTCTGCAACAGTTACTACATTCTCTATCAATTCCTGGACAGAAGGCAGAAAAACACTGTTACTACAAAATGATAATTTTATTAAGTTAAAAAGCCTTACATTAAGAAGATGTTAAGATTGCAAGAAAAAATCAACTTCTTCAGCTCTGCTATGTACAGTCAGTACATGGCATGGCTTTATTTCATGAAATCCCATAGATAATTGTATTAGCAAATGAGAGAGAAGATCTTATTTTTACTTCAGTATTTTCCAAACCTGTGGTGAATGTTATTGTTGTTGTTGTTATTATTATTATTATTAATAATAATAATAATACCCAAGCAACTATGTAATTCTACCTATGTGTAAACAGGTAATATAGGTTATGTTCTTCAGTAAAAGACTTTTCAGTTTGGCAGCCAATACATAAAAACATCTCCAAGCTACATGTCCTTCCTCCCATTTCCCCAACACCATCCCATCTGTTGTATTTGTGCTTCTGACTTAATAAACAAATGTATCCAAAGTTAATAAAAGATGGACTTTGTAGACAATGCATTCAGCTATATAAATATTAGACTACCTCTGCCTTTTTTTTTTGGAGATCAGTGAACTATCAGAGTTTACCGAAGAGTGTTTTTTACAATTCTGCAATAACACAGCTGTCTTTTGAATTTTGCCATGAATAAAACTTAGAATAGTCAGTCATCATAAATATCAAGAAAAAAAGACAGTCCCAAACCCAACATTATACATATATATATATATATATATATACACATACAAATTCCAGGTACCAATATGTTAATCAAAGGACAACCTGTCCACTGCTTGTATGAAGGAATTTAAGATCCCTCAATATTTACATCCTACATGTCAGAAAGTGTAGTGTTTCTGATACTTTCCTTTGATTTCTACAAATTAGCAAACTTTGTTCCTTCTGGTTACGCAGAACCAGATTTTAGGCACACTCTGTTGTCTCTTATAGCACCTTTCTGTATTTCATTACAAATGGTGTAAGATGCAGTGACACCTCTCTGAATACGTGCAACGTGGAATGGTACCGTTCTTTCCAACTCAGCGTTAAGAGATTCTTGTTAACACCCTGCTTGAGTCAGTGAAGTACATCCACCAAAGGTAATATAGCTACTCACAGCCAATGTTTTTTTTTATCTCCAGTATGTTAAAACTGGACAATAAGTGATAGAAGAGACTTACTGTTGGGATGAGTGGTTCATCTGGAGCACAGTGATAATTCTGCAACAGGGCTTGTAGCTGCAGAGAATTCAGCTTAAAGCAAGTACTGTTAATATTTGGAACATCTGCATGTGAGTATTTGTCCATGGTAAGCAATGTGGTTGCCTACAGGGGAGAAAAAAGTCCCAGATGACAAATTCAAACCAGAATAAAACCTTAAGCCTTGTGTCTAAATGTTCTTTAGATACGGGAAAAGAGAAAGCAAGAAGACAGATTTGTAACAGAAGCAACATCAATAGTCCCCCCAAACAAACACTAAATAAAGATGAATACTAAATCTGTCATAAATTAAGCATATCAATTTTCAGTTGCTCTTCCCGTCTCTGTTCAGTATAGTTACAGTTCAGTCTTATAAATGGAGATTTAACAGCCATGTTCACTATTAATTTCACTTGTAACTTAAACATTAACAATATTGAAAACATGTTTTGTGTCTTTACCTCAATGCTACCTCAGCATTCCTGGACTGACTCACTCAAGCTATACTTGTCCACATGCTATTTTCTAGGAACACAGCATAGGCAAATATTGTCTTTGAATATACAAATATGTAAGAAGTGTTAATCACAAATACACTCACCTGTACTATTCTGCTCAGGTGGCAATCAGCAGCCAATTCTAAACCTTGTTTTTCTGCCCAGGCTTCAATGTGGCCAAGCTGCTGGCGCATGATAGCTCCCCAGTAATGCGAACATAACCCTGAATCTGGGGCTGTAACTAATCTGTTAAAAAGCCACATGTTGATAAAATGAAAGAGCTGGGAGAAGAGCTGTATGGTCAGAGCAGCATTTACTCTGCATCGTCGCAACAGGGACATGGCTCCAGTCAAGGTGTGCAGCACATCATCTACGGAGATAAAAGAAAAAGTCACCCACATTCACAAACTGCAGAGGACACCTGGTTTAGGCAATAACACAAAGGCACTCAAGTGAGGCTGGTGAATGCTAGGTGGAACCTACGCGTATTTAATTACACAGCCTTTCAGAAATACACTTACTGGTCCATCATTTTAAAGATAGAGCAACATTAAAATGCTAGGTGGAACATAACCCCTGAAATGAAAATAAATTCTTGGGGAAAATATTTATCATACAAGTAAATAACTGGCTATACTCAACATTTAAATCACATTCTCACTTCAGTAAACTGATTTTTCTATTAGTTTTTATAACAAGTTCATATTCTGTTCTTCTATGCAACCTTTATATTCTACTGTTTCAATGCATATTTCAATTATTCCATAGCTTCTTCTAAGTATCAAATTGTACTCAGAAATTTCAGCTGAAGTTATTTGCATTGTATGATGCAGTTAAACTACAGAATGCACCTTCTTTTCACACATCATATTTTTAAAATACTACAAAATCCCATTTTCCAATTACTCCATTGCAGTATTATCTAACAAGCAACATGGACTTCTATTAGCATCACCAAGAGCAAACACCCTCATGCTTCCCAGTGGAAGCAACACATTTATCTCCAGGTCTTCTTTAAAGCAATACTTTTAATTGGAAATCTCTTTTGAAGAAACCATTAGTTTTTTTAGAATTGAAACTCAGGATTGTGTCTGATAAAAATATCTGTAGGTCATAAGAAATCTATAATGCGGCTCAAAAACAAGTGAAATAAGAACAGCATCTGCTTTTATTCCAGTATCAGTTTGCTACATTTTCTGGGTTTGTGTCCCCAGAAATACTCTCACAGTACAGGGCACTACAAACATAGCAGTGCATAGTCAGTCTTCCTTAAAGGCTCAGTGCAGGAGAAAAAGCAAGAACAGAAAGCTTAATACCTAAAGTACCAGATAAGTATCTATGAAATTTTCATAGTTCAACAGAATGCTCTGTTTAATTGTTCTGCAGATCACTTTTCCTTCAATTATTGAGGCATTAGAAGTCTGAGCAGTCACTGAGCCAGGATTACAGACACAGGGTGATACACATTGAGCAGGGTGCTCTGGAGGCAAGCATCATGTATCAGGTATTACAGCAGCAGGGAACCCTGACAGAAATCTACATGGCCAGTCAGCCTGACCTTAGCAGCTGAGAGGCTCTTGATCAGCTTCTCCCATTACATCTCTACAGTTATGGGAGGAAACTGCCAAGGTGAGGACTAGATAAACTGATGGCAACATATGGTTGGACAAAAGGACTTGGTGGATTTGTGGAGACAATGTCCAATTGGCAATCACAGATTAGCGGCTTATCTCATGTTTTGAGGGGAGACTGGTACTGTTTAATTAGTACCTTTAATTAATTATCTGAGCAATGTGATGGAGCACATTCTCAGCAAGTTCACAGATTATACCAAGAGGAGGCAAAATACTGATATGCTAAAGAGCAGCAGCATTTTTCAGAAGGGCCTCATTAGGCTGGAGAATGGCCTGACAGGGATTTCATGAAGGTCAAAGTAAACTGCATGTGGGACAGAGTAAATCTGTGCAACAGCACAAGACAGGTGCCACCTGAACAAAAAACAACTTTGATGAAAATTATGGAGAGATCCTAGCAAACATCAAGCTGAATGTGATTGAACAGTGTATCATTGCTTGAAACGTATCCAGTTGCACACTTAGCTCGAGTCAGCAGCAGTGCAGCTAGCAGGAGGGAGAGAGGGAAGCAATCCTTCCTATGCACTCAGCATTGTGAGACTGCATCTGGAGAACAGCATCCAGTTTCAGAATTCCTGGCACAAAGAGGATACAGGTTTAAGGGACCAAAATTCAGAAGAGATCAAGCAGTCTAACCTATTTTAGGCCTCTGAGGATTATTTTCCTCTGGATCATCAAGGAATGCTGGCATGTAGTTGTTAAGCTCTGACTGCAGACAATGAACCAGGTACCTGGAAGGGAATGATGAAAAAAGTGAATTTTAAATCCTCTATGTGTTCATTATAAAGGTTCTAAAGAGAAGAGTTCTATCAAATTATAAGACGCCTGAAATTTCTGTGCTATGAATGTGATTATAGGAAACCCAATAATACTTTTTAGAAGGCCTGAGAGACCAATTTTCCCATAAATTTCCTAGAAACATTGCACAAACAATTAGGTTGTCTGGGAACAAGCAATATGCATTTACATGCAATATTGCTACTACACTGGTGAGAGACAGTCGTATGCTACACGAAGAGATGCTGTCAGGCCAACCTTGGTTTCCCTAAGTATGAAAAAATAATTTCTTCTTTCTAAACAGAAATAGATTTTTCTTTCTTTTAAAATCTAGCAAGAGTAGTACTTAAAAAAAAAAAAAATAATAATGTTGTGATCCAAAACACAAAATCCTGAAACAACCTTAAGGCTTTGTGTGAGAAATTTTTTGATTCTTTTAGTTCTCTTACCTTTAACTACCCCAAAATAAAAATCTGTTTTAATATCCTTTCTCTTCAAATAATTAAACATTCTCTTTAACTGTTTTTGCTAATTCATATTTTCTGTTAAGAACTGAAAGTAAAATGAATCAGATTGTAAATATATATATACAAGAAAATATTTCATGGCTTTCTGAAACTCCCCCTTCATTTCACTGGAAACATTTTTAATGAAATACAATTGCTAGAAATTAAATCCATGGCAATTTCAACCAGTCCTGCAGTACACCCATTACTATCAAGTAACATTTTCACAGCACTTCTTTCTGTTCATGCTTCAGTTGTGCTTTTTGATTTCCATTCTAAGTCCATATTCCAGGGGTCTCCAGAAGTTTAATACATGCATTTGCAATGTGCCATGTTGCACTATACTTAGGGAAAATCCACACAACTAAAATTCAATAATATTTTTGCATATAGACTGCTCATAATGTGGAGAGATAAATATGGCACCATTCCTTCCTAGACGCAGCAATATTCTGTCTTTGATGACTACCTGGCCAATTAAAGTAGCAGGAAATTATTTTTTAAGACACTAATTCAAGACACTGAGCTGTGGCAGAAGGCACAGCTTCATTTACAGCTGGTGATTTAGAGATGCTATAAGAATAGAAAGACTTTGTCAAAATAGCTACTTGCTATACCCTACTTGCCCAAAATTTATTGACCAGAAAAAAAAAAAAAAAAAAAAAAAGGAATCTGCGGGAATCCGTGCAAAGGGGTCTGGTGCTCCACTGAAACCTTTTGAAAGTTGAGAAAGCAATGACAAAGCTTCACGAACTACACATATTGCTCTTCTGAGAAACACAGCCCCTTCAGAGCTAAACTGTTCAACCACGGCTAGCTCTCCCAGTCTCGTCACAGTACAAAAAGAGCACACAATACAGTATTTCATATTACAGAAAAATGAAAATACTGTATTTAAAATAGTCATCTTACAAGTGGGAGTAGGCTGGGTTTAAGTCACCCAAGGTACACTGGGACGTCTCTAAACATTAGTTTCTCATTGGCAAATTTGCTGTGAAATACTTGTTCAGTAGTGGCTTGGGGAGAAGGAAAAAAATCTGCATATGAACAAAAATGAAGTCTTTATTTTTGATTAATTCTGTGCTCAGCCAATATTGTTATCTTTATTCAAGGACACTTTCCTCTGAAGGTTTCCCTTCCCATTTGGTTGGTTCATTCAAATTTTCCTTTAATCGGTATTGTAATTGCCTGAGCTGGCAAGTATAGCTTGATTTTTACTCCAAACCAAAACCTGTCCCTCCTTTTTTAAGAAAAATCTGTGCAAAAAAACCACTGTGAAAATTGCTATTTATGAGAATTATGAAAGTAGATTATATTCAGAAGGCCTTAAAGAGCACAAGATTCATTACTTTAAAGACCCAGGAATATTTAAGCCTGTGTATTTACATCCTAACACCAAAACTACACTTTCCTCACAATTTCACATTAAATTAAGAGAAAGCAATCAACACAATCTAAATTTCCCCTAAAGCTATCATTGGTAGCGTTAACAATCACAACATCATCTAACAGATGAAACTCACGTACAACTCAGTGACCAATATTCACAAAACAGGGCATCTGTCTAAAAAAGTAAGTCTAGGCCATTCTTTTAAGTTTTCCTCTCAGGTATTTAACAATACTCAAAAGATATTATTGCAATATCTAAAATTTGGCAGAAGTGTGAAGTTGTTCTATAAATCACAGAAATGAAAAGAAAATGGTAATTGAAACAGAAGTTTGATAGCCTTACTTGAATGCCATTTGAACCAAGTGTGCCAAAACATCTTGTGCATCCACAGTAATTCGGCTAAGATCTCTGTCTTGCTTTATGAAATTGAGTAGTTCAGATGCATTTGCCATCCAAAAGGCAAGGGCCCCAGCAATATTCTTCTGTTTCTGTAAGTGGCAAGAAGCAATAAATAATACAGGGAAATAACTTTCTGATAAAGCATGGCAGCTTAAAAAGCCTTCAAAAGATAGACCAGTACCTCTTCCCATTTCACCAAACATCTCTCAGATACCAGATATTTGCAAAATGTTTGTATGTAATACCGCAATTGCTGTAACTACTACGTTCAAATTTAACATGTTCACTGAACACACAAAATGCTAATACATTGCCAATAGCCACATCAATGAAAGCCACAGTGTAAGCCTCAAATTACACAGCGCTAAGAGCTTAGCAGATGCAGTATCTGGTAATCTGTGCACTTTTAAGCGCATATTCACTACTGCCCACTGCCACACTGATACTGCGCTCACTGGCTTTGATACCACGTGATTCAGTATCAAGTACTGATCTATCTCACCATCTCCCGACCACAAATGCCAGGCCAGGCAACCTCAGATGAAATCCAAAGAATAGGAACCACAAACAACGAAAAAAGAAAATAAAGGGAAGAAAAAGAACTTCGGTCATTTCATATCCACATTGAAGTGCGTTAAGCAGAAATTATGGAATGCCGTAAAAGTTGCAAAGTCAAAAAAGGGTTTTAGTACTGCATGTTCCAGTTGCTGAATGAGTGTTACGAACTGTTCAAGTCCAGCTGTTTGAGTATTGTATTTTGATATGGAAGCAGTATGAGAAACTGAGCTAAGCCAACATAGCTAGGATCAGTTCCCAGCAAATATATCCTACCTGATCAACCTGGTCTACCTCCTGGAGAAAAACAGACAAAGAAAATCAAACAGAATAGAAGAAAGAAATTTGTGAACAATCATGAAAGCTTTAGAAATCAAACACTAAATATGAAGGTACAACACATGTTCACAATTATACACAGATGCATTAATCAGTAGCTACAGTGCAACTGAGCTCCTTCTAAAAAATTAATTATTTTAATAGGACCAGTAGCACAACAGCTACCAACTGAAGTGCCTACATGTCACAATTAATTCAAGGAATTAATGCCTTAACCTAGTTGCCATCCCAGACTGGTTATTCCATGCTTAGTGTGCCAGAGAAACCTTGCAGAAATTTTTGCAGGCAATGGGGTAACTAGCCATCCAAACAACAGATCCTGGGAGCCATTTGCCCACACTGCCGCAATAGACACAATATGCAAACACACACAAAGAGGGAACAGAAACCCCCCATCCAAAACGAAAAAAACCCAACCAAACAACAACATTCAAAAGCAAACAAAATACACAGAACACCTCGGACAGATTTAATACATGACTTTTCAATTAAAGAACAAAAAGATCGTTTGAAACAACAGAAGAGTCAAATGAAATACCATACTAAGTTTCTTAAATGTTGGTAAATATAAAGCTACACTGAGGTTAAAAGAAAAAAAGAACCCACCAGATGTTTGTCTGATTATTTAGAACTGAGCTCTTAATTATTTTCTGCTTTCTGTTCAGATCACTCTCCCCCACCTGCAACACAGTGAGCTTAGATGCAAATATTTGAGGTGTTACTATTTTCATTTTAGTCAGAGCTCAAAACACCAAATTGCTGCTTGTTTCCTCTCCCTTTTCAACCAAAGCATTCTTAACTGACTTAATCTTAACTGATTCTTAATGCGTTGGCACAGAATAAAAGGAAATGCTCCTTCTAAAAACAAATGTTAAAATTTAAAAAGGATTAAAAATGCCACAGAATGATTGGGGGAGGGGGGGAGAAGGAAGGATACAAAAAAAAGGGCTTTTGAATATGAACAAAATTTCTAGTCCTGCTTTTTTATTGAAAGTACTGAGACTTGTAATAGATCTCTCCTATTTTATACTTATCTCATACAAAGTCATCTATAATAATTGGATATATGAAGTCACAAATTTAATTTGTTAGCAAACCTTCTTGAGTAACTTCACAAAGAGACTTGATAGCTTTCTGATTCTAGGCAGGCAAAATTAAGATCTCAGCCATTAATTTACTCCACAATATAGCACAGGAGTTCGTGCACCTTCCCACTCCTGTTTCGGGTGCCTCTTTCTGTTTGCCACTCATTTGTTTTCTGTGTCTCTCACACTATCAGATCCCGTTCAGTGCAAGAACACTTTACTTGAACTTTACACTTGAGACACACAAAAAAGCTATTGTGATACAAGTTATTACATGGTAATTTGACTGTGACAGCCATAAATGCAACCACTTATGTTACACCTTAGATGAAGTAATTTGACTTGGCTAAGCTTGCACTGTTTCTGCTCCACTAAGGCAAGTCGAAGCTAAAGACATTTTACTGATCCCTGGAATCAATGTATTTCTTTGCCTTCAGCCCATTAACTGTGAAATTGACTCAAGTTTCTCTTTTGTCCCGGGTGTATTTCCCCCACTTTCCTCTGGCTCCTTTCACCATGACAATTGAATGAACCTCCTCCCAATTTTTATGCAATCTCTGACTACTTTCAGTTAATTTCATGCAACTAGGCAACATCTTTCACAAAACCACAAATACTGCTTCCTTATTGATGTGTTCCGTAATATTTAGGTTGGAGATCAGATTGCAGCTGAAGTTACAAGGCTGTAGAAATGGCCTTTCACAAAAGACAGTCCAGACAAACAGCTGGGTTTAACAGTTTTGTAATAGTATTAGCAGGATCATAGAAAATACATTTGCTTACAACCACAAGGCTGAATGTGACTTGGGAAGCCCTTCTCAGTGCAATAAATGAATATTTTTCACAAGATAATCTACTTTCTAGCTTTGATTTGTTTTCAAATCAAACTGATGTTTGAGTCCACCCCTCTAGTATTTTCTAGCAGCTATCTCATTAGCCACTCAATACTAAGAAAACTTTTATCCACTTTCGCACTGTACCTGCCTCTGTCACTACAAGTCTTTTTAGGTTCATTATAACTACTATACATTAGCTCTATAAACTGAGTGACTTTCTTAGATTCAGACCTGTAACTTCCAGTTTATATTTGAAGCCTACTTCTCTGTTTACTCTCCATTCTAGCTGCTGAATTGTTTATGTGCAGGCTCTTGCCAGTTCACGTTCTCCCCTGCAGTCACAGTCTCCTCTCTTACACAGATAGAGTTCATTTTAATAAAAGACCCTGGTATTAATTTTTGATACCATTTCAATTTTATGAAATATCCATTGAGTGTGACATCAAGATTCAAAGCAGCATACTAGTTCATCACTTCAAAAGCAAACAGCTCTTCAGTCTCTGATCAAGTTTGGAATGTACACAGAAGGCACATGTTACTTTCTTATTGCGAAGTGTCCTCAACACCAGCATTTCCTCTGGATCTTTCTTGTGAAAGGTGGGAGCCTGCTGTATAAGATTACACAGGTCTAGAGCTAACATTCCCTTGCTGAAAACTTCACTATATCTTTCAAAAACCTGAACAATTTTGGTTTGCTGTGAGCTTTGTGCCACTCCTGTTGTTTACTTTCCTACTCTCCCTTAATCAAGCTGTTGTGTAACACTTGCATTGTAAATTCCCTAAGGCAGGACTGACACATTCGTTATGCCTGTGCAGCACTTAATGCAGCAGGGTCCTTGCTGCTACTCTGGCAGTACTATTTGCAACAAACACACATGTTTTAATAAATATAGAAACAGATTTCAGTTTTTCTTCTGAGAAAAACCTGCAGACAAAGAAGTTTAATTGTTTTATTACTGAGGATACATGAACTAGCACTCCTTTTTGAGAAAATGACCAGTCTGTTTTATCAATGCAAGGTACACAATGCAAGGTACTGTCTAATATCATAGACAGCCCAGTAAATCTTATCTTGCATTTTTACACAAAACAGAATTTCCCCTGCGATTCAGTAGGAATCTTGCACATATAGTAGCAAGAGTGTTAGACTACATGTAAAACACTGAAACATTTGAGAACTTGTATTTCTCTTTACAAAGCAATTGTGTCAGCTTGTTTCAAGATGTCCAAGTTTTATGTCCAGTTTTGTGTTCAAGATGTCCAACCATTTTTGTGGTTACAAAAGTTGTAAAAGTGACAGGGTCAGAATTTAAAAGTCATGATTCTTTTAACACGTTCAAGTATCAATAAGTGCAAACAAATGCTACCTATTCAGTATTCTTTAATAAGCCAATCCAACTTGTTTTACAAGGATTCACAGCCAGAAATGTTTGCAAAGATCTTACCTTCTAGAAAAGAGTCACCTCTCGTCAGGAAACAATCTTCAGAGCAACAGCCACTCCCTAACTTCCCACATTGCTCAGGATAGAGTTCTTACCACTGACATTATTCACTAGCATAAAAGCAGTGACTGCCCTTCATAAGGGCAGACAATGCAGGTGTTACTGTTTAATCAGCTGCTGTTAAGGGTCAGACTAAGAAAAAGGCTAAGAAGTTTGCTTGATTATCAACAAACTGTAGGTAATTCCCTTGACCGATTTTGGCAGAGGAACTCACCTGTATCACTCCTTCCATCATGTTCACCATTTTGTTGACTATTGCAATGACTTTGTGAGTACGCTCAGCAGGAGTGATGTCAGGTCTGTATTGGCAGGACAATACATACCGACATGTCATATACAAAACATATGTTGGTGACAGCTTAAAATGAACTGTCGAGCTATTTGTGTAATTTATAATGGCAGATAAGAAGGCATCTTCAGCTGCAGACAAAGAGGAAAATAAACAGTATGTCATAAATCCAAAGACAGAAAGAAAATGAAAGGAAACAATTTCATAACTTGAGGCATAAAGGATTTTCTTTGGAAAAAATCAGAGGAAGGACTAGCAACTTACAGGAATTTGAACTCTAAGTTGTCTATTATGTACTACAATTAGTTAGACATACAAACAAAACACTTCCATATAAAGCCAGAAAATCTGATCATTGGGAAACATTTCTGTACTATGTCCTATCTACTGAAAATTTACATCTTCAAGGGAACAGGAAAATGAAAGATTTCTCTTACACATTTTACTCCAACAAAGCCCTCGCACTAATAAAAATCAGTCTTTGCTTGCTCACAAATCTATTTAGTTTCAAATATCTGAAGTATGAACAATCTCTAGTATGTTATTTTTCTATCAGATCTGAGACCTTAAAAACCTGGGGACCAAGATAATAATAAACTGCAAATGACAATGCAAACCTCATCAGATTTTACAGAAAATGGATTTTGACCAAGGTGCAATCTATTACACATTGCACAGAGAACTGTATAGAGGACAATGAATCCAAGGCACTGTTGAGGAGATGGGATTAAAATTTTTTCACATTTAATCTGAAGATAAGAAATTGAAATGACATCAGAATTAAGATACGCATGAACATGTCTCAATATCTGAAGTATCTGCTCACCCTCCCAACAAAAGAAATTATACTACCAGACTGTCTAGCATCTGTATAGTCATAGTTTATTTCAATGTTTACTTAAAATACCTTTAAATTTTCCAACTGACTGAAATATTACAGTATAGAAGAATGCATTAACAGGTTAGTATTGTAAGTTCAGAATTTACTCACAGCTTTCCCTGAATTCAATACTGGCAGGCAGTATCAGTTCTGGTCCATGGGTATCCTGAGATCTAAAGAAACATGAGAAAAATTGAAACAAATAATCCACATGGGTGATATAAATTACTGTAAAATTACATATTCTCCAAATACACTGGCTCCAAATATTGACACAACCACCTTTCAGAAAACTACACTTTTTCTACCCTTCCTCCAGAATAATTCAAGCTGTATTTGCCAGCAAAACAACAGATAAAAATACAGACTTGAACTGTGGAGTCTGTGGTATTAATAAGCACCCTCTTGTGTGCTGCACAGCAGACTGATAGGATCAGTTTGCCATCTGCCATTTACAGGATTCAAGTAACAAATAATTCATGAACACGTGAAAGAAATGGAATGAAGCTTTGCCTGAAACATCAGCCTGGTAATAACAAATGTATTTGCTGCCTTTTGTGCCTGCAAAATTTATGAAGACTTAGTCAACCCATTTGACCTTTTTTCTGATAAAGAGGGAAATGAGGTCAAACCCAGTCCCTACCTAGCTGTTGCTACACTACTTAAGAAACAGCAATCAGCCACAGAACTGTCCTCATTGAAACTGATTGCAGAGCTATTTCTTACCAGAACCCATCAGAGAAATCACTGAGCAGAAAACTGAACAGAGATTTCACTTTTCTGGCGCCTGCAAAAGGTTAAGTGTGCCTTTCACAGAATCACAGAATATCCTGAGTAGGAAAGGACCCATCAAATCATTGAGTCTAACTCCTGGCCCTGCACACAACATCCCAAGAGTCACAGCATGTAAGTGAGAGCATTGTCCAAATGCTTCTTGAACTCTGTCACGCTGGTGCTGTGACCACTGTCCTGGAGTGCTGTTCCAGTCCCCAACCACCCTATGGGTGAAAAACCTTTTCCTAATTTAATAAATCATTACTGCCTTAAAGAGCGAAGACATTACCTGAGCTGTTCTCTGCAGCTGGGCATCTATTTTTAGGAAACGAGTAAAAGCTTAACATCTCCTGCATGTAATAACAATTTTAACCACATGTAACACAACAGGCAGCTTTCTACTTCCCCCAATAACTTTGAAAAAGAAAGGAATATAACATATTAATGTCATTCTCCTGAAGATTGTTAGTTATGCCACAAGGCAGAGATAACTGAGTAAAGGCTCTCAGTGTCATATCTCCTGTAGTAAAAATCCACAATATAATTTTGATGTCTGATGTCAAAAGATCTAAATTTTAGTATATTGAATCCAAAAATCCAGGGTACCTTTGGGTTTTGGTGGGGGTTTGTTTGGTTGCTTGCTTTTTTACAAACTTGCAAAACCAGCAGAGAACTCAGGTTATGCCACCTAGATAATGCGTTATTATAAGAAGCGTTCACCAAATCAAATTTCTGCAGGAGTTGAAAGTTAAGGAATAGCAGGCACAGCATGGCAGTATGTACACAAATTTCTGCCATTTCAGTTACATTTCAAACATGACAGCATGCTGTCTTTATGAAAAGCACCCAGCTGGTGTGTAAAATGTAGTATTTTCTATCTTTTTATTGCTATAAATTTAAAATGAACTAATTTATCACTACTTCTGCACTGTCAGAAGTGCTTCTTCACTGAGAACTTCATGACTTCCATAGAAAAATTACTAATACACAGTATTATAAAATGGAAATATAGTGGCAACTCCAGAAAAATTTTTAATCTTTCATTATTGGAATGGTAATAAGAGATAGAAATATTTTAATATTTAATATTAGTATTTTAATATTTAACAAACCGGCTAGTAAACCAGTGACAGATTTCAGCAGATGATTTATTTTATTTTCCTTAGAACAAAATTATATTGATCAGTTTCAGCACAAACAGAGGAACTGGATTCCCAGCCAATGAGAGACACTGTCATGAATGATGAGACTTGATATTAGGGTCAGAGTGCTCACAGACTTTTGGAAACTGGCATAAGAGCCAAATTAATACAAAGCATTCTTTAAAAACTGTTAATTTAATTCTATCTGTAAATTAGTTGTCTAGGAACTGATGCAGTAATCAATTATTTAACTACCCTAACAGGAATTCCCTTCAACAAATCATGGAGCCATAGGATGGTCTGGGTTGGAAGAAGACCTTGAAGATCATCTAGTTCCAACCCCTGTACCATCTTCCTGCTTCCCCTAAAAACACACAAAAAAAATACGCTCTAATTAAGCTTTGCACATTAGAAATCTAAGTTGAAGTAATTCTCTGTGCTTCTGACATAACACATTTTAATGGATACATTTTAAGTGTATATTGTCTTTATGCGATTGCTCCTATAGATAAAGCCTCTCTGTGGTGATGAAATTCTTTGAGCTAAACCAGTCTGAAAGTCTAGTTAGGTTTAGAAGGGCCATAAATATTGACTAGGGGTTGACTCCTTTCTTAGTATATCGTCAGGTAATATTACACTTTAAAATCACATTAAAAGCAATAATGCATTCTCCTGATACTTCTGTATTCTCCTCGACTGCCTCTGATAAACTACATTAAAAAATGAAACACACTTGTGTGATTGTTTCTGTCAGCATACTATGTATAAATTTTTAATGCATGTTAAAGCAAGGAATCAGGTAAGCATCTGCATTCAGTTAACACCACTTACATATCATCACTCTTTTCCAACCAAACACATCTTAAACAACTCCTGAAAGGTATCCAAGGCAAAAATTCTCTTTTCTCATCTTTATTATATGTTTGCTCATGTTAATTATAGTCCGATATCTAATGAGAATGTATGACGACAATCCTTAAATGAATAGTCATCATGTTTGATTTCCAAGAATCACATTACAATCAGAATAAGCATACCCAGTAAGTAAACTGGAGTTATGCTCTCAGATGTCAATTTTTTTTCTTTTTAGAAATGAAAATACATGGCAGCCAAGTTCTTATCTTTGGTCTTCAACCTATTCAGTGAGTTACTGGAAGAAAGTCTTATTTGTCTTACTATTTACCTTTATAGAGCAGTGATGAACACACAGACTACCCATAAGAACATTTAGTGTGGGCTGAAAGGTGTACAGTAACAAGAACCTGAAACTTGCCAGTGAAGAATTTTTGGTTTCTCAAACTAATAAAGCAGTTTACAATTACTGTCCTTAGAGTTCACAAAATGAGACCAGAGTATCCCAAAGGAAACCTAACTAAAGTTCCACAAAATATATCCACAAAGGGGAATTCCATGTATTCAGGCAATTCATTGTTCAATTTGTCAAGTCCTAATCTGACATCCTGACTTTGCTAATTTGTTATTCTCAAGAACACAGTGAATGTATCTGAGAAAGAGCACAAGATACAAGGGCTGCATTTAGATGAATAAGACTCATTACACAACACATACTACAGACATTTAAGATATATACTATATATTAAGATATATTAAGAAATATAAAATCAGTGTCAGGGCTGGTGATGAAGATCTCTGAAGTTGTGGTTGTCACAAATTTAAGTGTGATCTAGACGTCTCTAAAAATACTTTCTGCACACAGGAACCATGGTGAAAAAACCTTTGTAAAAACTAGCAATGAGTACTCTCTTTAGAAGGAATTTAATATGTTAAAAACTCTCCATCAAAATGAAGCCAAGATACAGCTCACAGATGGCTCTGTTTTTGAAAGACAGAACTACAGCACAAGATAATCCTCTTCATAGAAATTTAATAAACTTCATACACATACAGAAACACAGATCAAGAAATATTAACAACAGAAGCCTCAAGAATTTCTGAGAGGCTATAAAAAGTACAGAAAGTTTTTGTTCATCTTTTATGAAGAAAATTACAATTAAAATACTAGTCATCCAAGAAGAAGTTAAATCTTCACAATCTTAATAAAATTCTAAAAAATAATCTGAATATGGTAGGCACTCTAACAAGGGGGTGCAGATTAGAACTGAATATTCTACTCTAACTTCACTGAAAGTATTTAAAAGATGCCCCTGCTACAGAACACTTGAACATTCAAGTTTAAGTGGAAGCACAACTTTCTGCCCTTTTTTGGTATTTTTTTCCTGCCACTCACATCTCCGAATTCTCTTTTCTGTCTAGTGAATAATATATCAATTTAAAGGTACAAAAAGCTTCATACTGCAAGCTTTATAACTTGGATCACTGCACGTTTTAATCCTGCAGTACATTTACTTTACCTTTCATTCATTTATCACAGCTGTTCACCTAAATTTAAAAGCCGATTTATGTAGACAGCAATACAATCTTGTATTTTTTGAAAGAAAAAAATTCTATTCACATTCTCACTGATTTGTTGGGATGTGATAAGAGACTCTAGAGATCATCTAGAGATCCAACTTCCCTGCTCAAAACAGGGTCAGGTCAACAAGAGCAAGTTGCTCACTACCGTGTCCAGTCAGGTTTTAAGTGTCTTTAAGTATCTTCAAGGACAGACTCCACACCTGCTGACAACAGCACAGTGGACATAGCAATGACCTGGTTATTTCACTCCCCAAAGTAAATCACATCATCTTGCCACTGACAAATGAAAATTTTACATAATTATACCTTTCATGTCATATGACATGCTTAACCACAAATCAACAATGATGTGACATGACTACCAGCCTGACTTTACAGAAAGAGAACCACAAATAATAGAATACTGAAACAAAGGATTAGTTTTTTGGTTTTTTAAAGTATTGTGAAGTTTTTTGCTTTGGTTGTTAAGCCTGGGTTTTTTAGGAGAGAGATCTCATTCTCCATATGGAAAACCAGATAATTTAAAATACTTTAATGCAGCATTTGATCTACTGGAAAAACAAATCCATTTTTTCAATTCTAAGAAGTAATGGATCCCATGTTTCCTACCTGCTGTCCTGTCTGCGGTAATCCTGCTGGTCTATTCTAATCATTGGCTTCACCATTCCTCGCTCGGCTGTGCTGGATGCAGATGATGATGTCCTGTCACCGTCCAGCCTGCTGGTGCTCTAATTCAAAATAGCAGGACAGGTGCTTAGCTTGCAAGCACTGCATGAGCCAGTACTTGTGCCTAGCAGCACTAAAACGAAGCTGAGGTCTGAGGCTTGAAAAGAGATGGGGAAACAGAAGAAGGGAGTATGGCACAGAGAGCGACAGCTCAGCAGGCATTTTCACCACAGTGAAGCACTGAAGAGCCTGCTTCCAATGCAACAGACAACAACAGCCAGCTAGGAGCAGTTCTTTGTAAATGAACTACTAGAATTTATAATGTAGCTTGCAAATATATTTAATCAAAAGTTTATAGCTACAATAAAAAGTGAGAATGAGTTGGGAATCAAAACTTTAGGTAAGAGACAAAGTTAAAAATATTTACAAATTTAAAACTGGTCATGCTCCCATACTGTGCTTCTGCAATAGTTCCAAGTGTATGCACTATTGATCTGTAACATAATTTATCCTGATCTTAGGGAAAGTCTGATCTGGCAGTAAGTACATTTCTAAGACAAGAAGGGGCAATTCAAACTGTTGTTTTTTATGTAACATTTGATTTGTTTTCTTTTGGTGTCTCATGCTCCTTAATAGGAAGCTTTTAATTTATGATTTCTAATTCAATCAAACCCTGTCAGGAATGGGACAAATACACTGCTTTAAGCAGCAAAAGAAATAGTAATTTTTTACAGCATGAAGAGTAGAAAACAAGACATCAGTAAAATAGAAAGTGTTTCAACATTTCATAAGAAATTTCTAGGACTAAATAATTTGCTTCAACGTAGGAAAACCTGCCAACAAGTGCATCTCAAAGCAAGAGCTTGAACTTTTCACCACCACGTCTCTGAGAATTTTCATTAAGCTTACTGTTACCCCTTTTCCAAACAAACTTCCAAGCAAACTTACAAGAGAGCAAATGTTAGAAAATGAGTGATTCATCAGTGCTTTAACAAGATGACATACACAGTCTCAAACAGCACAACTGAAAAATAAACTAATTTTTCCCATTAATCCCTAAGTCCACTAGAAGTATTTTTCTAATGACTGCAAATAGCATATGAAATAAGCTACATAATAAAGCCAGAAACTCTTATTCTGAGAAATTTTAAGACATTTTATTAGTTTACAAGGTTTCTGTTCCTCCTTTTCAAATATTACTAAAATTCCTATCAGAAGTAGGTGAAGAACACATATAAGATAAAAGCACTACCCAATGGTACAAAGAAAGTAGAGAAACTGAATCAAAGGACTGTGGTTAGAAAACAAGTAAGACTAAAAATGCATGCAAAAGCTATCAGAGTTATTAATACCTACACTGCTGCATTAGTATCACTAAACAGTTATAAGTATTTCAGTTGTGTAATAGCAAAAATAAAACATAAAAGGTAATGCAATTCTGGGAAGATTACTCCATTTCATACTACTGAAATAATTCATTCTCTCATTTCATCTGAGGTATGTGATCATAGCAAGTAAGGCATTAACCATTGTGTCATTTACTCTTTGTTGGCTCTTGGAAAATGCAATTCTGACACAAAATCTATTAACAGAAGTGCAGAAAGAAAGCATGAAAAGATTATCACCTCATAAAATGTTTATAATTATGACTGCAAAGACAGTTTGTTTAGTCAGTGTGTGTACTGGAGCTCTACTGAAGTCTAAAGTCACATCCATTAAATTTTAAAAGCCTAGTTAAATTAAAATCGAACACCCTTTCACATTTTACAGAAAACATTTATTTACCCCATCACAAATGACAACAGCCATATGCTACATACACAAGGTAACAATGTACCAGTTCCAACAAGAATCTCTACCTGCACATAATCTGCTTTCGGTAAGTCATTTTGAGGAGAAACTACTTCAGGTTTGGAGAATTTCCCTTTCTAAAAAATGTTACTATCCTTGACATGAGATGCCAATGCCAATACAAATGTAAACAAAAGGGTTTTGGGGAAAAAAAATAAACCAAATCTAAAATTACAATGCATATAATATCTGAGCCCATCCACAAGGAAAAACAGCTAGGAAGACTGATAAACTGACCACACTTCCCCAAATACTACTGCTATTGTAATTTTGATTTAACTTACACATGCTGTTATTTATTGCTAACTTAGTCATAAAAAAATACCTTGCTTGCTGGAAATGCTGTTCCACTGTGAATATCTCCCTCCAGATCAAATGTGGTTTCCTGGACAGCTCTATAAGCAAGATAACATTTCCAGTATGTTTTAGAGATTATGCTGTTCAGCATTTAATAAACAAGGAACGGAGTAACTAAAATTACTAAATTAAAATTCAAGGGTTATACCATGAGTCCAGTTAATAATAACGTTTTTTAATACTCTATTAGTTCTTCATATCAAAATAACCTAAAAATATTTATACAGACAATTACATTTTCAAAGCCAGATTCATAGCTAATTTCTTCCCAGTCAAGTGAGAAAATATAAATACATATAAAACATGTTCATGGCATTGCATTTACTACAATAGAATAGCTACAACCTTTTACTCAGGTAATTAGTATTAAATGTACAACATAATGCAAATAACTCATAAATCATAGTAATGCATATTACTATCTCCTTATTCTAAAGATTTTAAAAAATATTTGATTGTTCAAGCTGCAACAGCCCTTTGCCATAGATTTTGTTGTCCAGATAAAGCTCTGCAGTAATACAGCCCTTTCCAATTGACTGTAAATCTGCAAGAGCACTTATTTATTGATCTGCAGGCTAAATGCAGGATGAACTAAAGATTTAAGCAAGAATATTGCATGACAGACAAATGGCTGGAGGTCTTTCTGAAGACAGGGCCTACAAGAAGCAGTGTCCTTCCATAAGAAAATACAGTGGAGAAAAAAATAAAAATGGTTAAAGCATACATCTATATTAATTCAGCAGATAAGCTTCCTTCCCTAGGTATCTTTCTTTCACTCATCTCCAAGCCAATTTGTTACTTTTCTGAATAACATACGATAATGTGTATACTAATAATAGTAGCCTCACTTGGACCCAGAAAAGATGGAAAACAGCATGTTGTTTTTTTCCCCTGCTATACCAACTGATTTTAAGATTGTTTCTTCTGAGTATTTCTATAGCTGCTGAACAAAACACCTGAAACCCCTATGAGTCACAATATCTATGATTAGTATTTTTATTATGCACCTATCAAAAATATGAATGAGAAACAAAAGGGCAGACTTCTGGATTGTCAGTCCTTGCAACACAGAAACCAGTGGGTAAGTAATCACACTACAAAAAGTGGTTGTTACATTGAGACATATAGTTCCCTATCTTAACAGTCTCATTTCATGATTACTCCATTTCAAAATCCTTTTAGTGGAATTTTGAAAGTTGTTATCTGAGAAAAAACAAAAACCAGACTATCTGAAAATATTCAGGAACTTCTTGACTTTTCCTGGAGCTTGGATGAACTATGAAATACATGAAAATAAGGCATTATAGTGTTTTTCACACAGAAGTTGAGTATGAGTAAAACTTGTTTGAATACTTCGTAATGAAAAACATACTTGCTAATGCTACATAAAATCACAAGGTGGAGCTCAAGTATTAAAATTATATACTTAACACTTTAAATGAGTTCACACACTAGTCCCTGGCATTTATAATGCTTTCATTATGTGTTTTTTTGCAAGGCTCCCCTTCTAACCTCAGTAGGATGAAAATAAATTTACTCACCCAGTTCTGTGTCTTGGGCCTTTGACCATAAGACTTGCATCAGTAGATCTTTTGGAAATAATATGGTCCTGAGTAGGATCCACAAACTTAAATACATGAGAAGACCCAAACTGAACCTTCATTCCACTTTGCAGCATGGTGGTTTCTGAAATACGCTGACCTTCCACATAGGTTTCAGCATCAATGCTTCTCGGGGTTACAGTAACAACTCCATCCATATTAGTGAGGTCACAGTGATGAGGCTGAATTCCTGGACCAAATAACTAGGAATAAAATGAATTAACATAGAAGAAATTAAATTATACTGCAGGAGAAATAAAAAAAGACTAAGATGTAGCTTCCCCTATTTACACACTGATTATTTAACTTTGATTACGAATTTACAGACATGAGTGGTACTAAAATCAGTAAGTTTCACTTCATTTTTCAATGCAACATGAATAATAAAACACATATTTAACTAACATGTGCAGCAGACATCCCTTTATGAAAATTTTTTCACTGTTTTGGTCATATACTATTTTCTTCTACTTTGTGCTTTATACGAAATCACACAACACAAATAATTACAAATCAACAAAATGCACTGACATGGACCCAGGCCACTGTAAGAGACTCCCTGGCATGAACTTCATACAAATATGCTTGTTTGATATTCTTAAAATATCCTGCCTCCATGGGATTAAGACTAGGATTTGAAAGCCTTTAAGCAGTTAAAATAACACTGATATGCACTATTTGATCCAGTTATGAAAAAGAAAACCCCATTTCAAATAATAAACGCCTTAAACAATAAAAATTTACTTTAAATAATAAAATCCTCCTCTTAATTTAAGAGTGGAAGTAAATTAAAACAAATAATTATGACCATTAATACAAAATTTCAGCAATATTTTACCCTTCTACTTTGAAGCATATGTACACCATATTTTATTAAGATTCCACAATGACACATAACACACAGAGATCAGATCCGTACTGTAATGCAAGACTGCTTTTTTCCATACCTGAATGGAATTGTCATCAAATTTTTCAGTTCCAACTTCAGTGACACTTAATTGTAGACGATAGAGCTTTGGCTTATCTCTGGAGTCAGAACCATCTGTACAGCCAGTGACAAATATCAATTTGTAAGTTAATAAAGTTCAAATACTCACACAGTATTTCTACATTTACTGCAACTTAGTTCAGAATAGTAAAGTTTACAAAAAAAGAAAACCTGAGTGACATTGTTTCAAGATTGTAGGGAACCTGGTTTTTCCTCATAATGGAACAACCCTGAAAGTAGGAAAGCCTACTTGGAGCAGCTGTTTACTACAAATGCAAAGAATAAAGTAATCAAGAACTACTGTTCTGAACGTACCATGAAAAACCTTTTCTATTTCCTTTGTACTTTAAGCAATACAACAGGTTTTTTTAAGTCTCTAAGATTTTATATGGGTATACCAGTATGGGTTTAGAAGATAAAGAAAATAAAATACCTCCAGATCCCACATTAATAGCATCTACTGATCTTACTGAAGTATATGTTATCAGCACTATCTGCTGTCAAGTGATCCACATACCAAACTGTTTCTAATTAACCAGATACTGAACTAGAGAAATATTGAAAGACAATTCTACAAAATGTTTATCTATGACATTTAGTCTTAATATACAGGACTTCAGCAGTTCTGGCCTTACCTTTACAGTTCCATTGACCTATATGTTCATCTCACAGAAAATTAGGCAAAAAATAAAAGTCCAACTTCCTACTCCCCTCAGAAATATGCTGGACGTACAAAGTGTGCACAGTTTAGCTGGTGCCTTCACAGGCTAAACACATATGGGTTTTGTCATACATATAAATCCTGCCCATTTCCTACATAATCCTACAGCTTTAAATATGAGCGGAAACTGAAATAATTCTGTCATTTCTAACTTCTCTCCAATCTCTCGTCCAAAGCAAAGTAAAAGAAAGGCTGCAAGACAAAGAATGTCTTACCTGTGGAAAAGAACAGTGATTTTAAGTCATCTCCAAGAAAGCATTAGAGAATATTATTAAAGCCATGGCACATACAGTGATACTGTCTGCAGTAGGCTACTAGTTAGCTTCAAATTTTTAAGTGGAAGTCAATACAAACAGAAGCTCTATAAATCTAGTTGTAAACTCCCAAAACACCTTGTATTAAAACCACAGCACTAGATACAAATGCAATTTTTTCTTCCACAAAACGGAGAAAATTTCAAGGAGTTATTCACAGTTATCTGAGTTATTTGTTGTACTCCATCAGTATTACAAGCCAATTTCTACAACAAGAGGTATCTTAATCTTGAAGATAATTACAACAAATGCTAAGAATGATGAAAGGCCTTTTTTTCTAGGGGAGGGAGGCAGAAGGGAAGGATGGTTGTGTTATACTACAGTGTAAAGTATATTTCCTGTTTTCCAGCAGCTGGAATGTAAACATCTAAATGGTATTGGGAATGTATTCCTTATAAATCACTGCAGCAAGATAAATATTCTGCTATACCTATGGTGAAGGCCCTATTCCCTACTCCCCAGGCCATGAGAGTTCACAAAGGCTGATCTTAGAAAATGATGCACTGCAAACAGATTTCATTACTTAGTTTATGAACTTAAGAGACACCATTCACACTTTAAATAAAAATGTTATTAAAAAAACCTGCAGTGAACAAAAGTGAATAATCACTGTAAGGACATCAAGTCAGTGGATTGTAACACAAACACATTTTTTAAACAATTAAAGAAAAAAAAAAAACAACAAGACAGGCCACCCTTCATGGATATATATTTTAAATGTGTTACTTCACCACTAAAAGGTGAATCCTATACCACTTTGAAAATTGTAACTTCAGTCGATTTCACTAGGCCAATGCTTGAAACAATGCTGGGAAATAGTACTGAGTTTGCACAGACCAAATCAAATTATGAAGATCAGCTCACAGAAAACAAGTAAGCCCAAAGCTTACTTGTCACACAATGGACTTTACCTATTGAGATAAAATTAGTTAAGTCTACGCTTTAAAAGTGTATTTTCTCTACAAGTTCCTAGTTACTAAGGGTTTAAACACTAATAAGTTTAAGAGATGGTTGGGCAGATCTGAAACACCACGTCAAAATCAGGAGATAATTCTACTATTAAATTTCAGACAAGATATGCACTTCCAGCAGAAAGAGACAACAGTAAACTTTTTTTATTTTAAACAGGCAACAAACTCATGTGCAAAAGTGTTACGCCTGCAGTTCTGTTCTCAGAAAGAAGCTTGGCCAGGAAAGCCTGGCCATGGCTTTCCACTTCTCCAACCTTCCGCAATTCTTCTGTCCAAGTTGTTATATCTCCATGTCCTTCACACCTCCCACTGCTATTTGTTCTACAGCTCAAGATTGCTCTTTTTTTGTGATTAAGCAAGGAAAAAAGCCTTATGAGGTTGCCTTTTTATTTTGTATTTATGCTTTGTAATTTTAATTTCAGGCTTGTAGGATCTGAGGCTCACATGTGAAAATATGGGAGTTTGCCATTTTTCTCAGCCTTTAAATATTATGACTGTACAACTGAAGTTATTCACATTCCTGAACTCATCAAAAGCCACATTCACAGATAATACCGATAGAAGCAGCTATTCGAAGTGCTGCTGAATATCATTTCAGTCTGCCCAATCTATTTCTATTACTATCAGATTCATCTCAGTTTACTGCTTCATTCACATGACTTGGATACAGAGACAGTTGCTGACTGCCACATATACAGCCACAAGCTACTGAAGTGCATCCTCTACCATACAGATCTAATATTCAGTCACTTAAAGAGTCGTACAAACAGCAACATCAGCAGCTGTGGAGAAGTGGAAAAACTGGGCATACTTCACTAGCAAACTTAATGAATTTGTGCAATTTTACAGGGCATGAAAGTGAGTCTGCTAGGTTCTTCTGCAAAAATATAAACAGCCTCTGTTTTGACAGGAGGACATTTCTACTGGAGTTATTTCTATAACAAAAACACATATCCTAAAGTGCTTTTTTTCCAAAGACACAGTCTGAGTCTAGAGTATGGAGACCTCTTTTTCACACACTGAGATAAAAATTTATAAAGCTGTCTTTTTTTTTTTTTCCCCCCGGTGACATGCAACCAAATTTCAATCTTCCTAGTTAATGATCAAGTGTTCCTGCAGAGCCCATCCGTGATTTTTAGTTCAGCACACTCTAGGAAACTTTCTGCTCTCTGGAATGACGCCATTAACAAAATGGAAGTCTGAAATCAATTCACATAACTGAGCACTGGACACAAGCGTGAATACAGTTCTTTAAACCCCAGTACTGCACTCCACAACCACAAAGGGTGAGCAGCACTGACATGCTGTTATTCTACAGCAGTCTAGAAAATAAAGTGAGAAAACAGGGGGAAAAAGTAATAAAATAAAAAAATACTTTGGCAGACATTTCACAATGAAAATAGAATGGCTTTGTCTTGTCTACTTGGTCAAACCAGAACACATCTGCGTATTATTCTAAACTCTAATGAGAGTTGAAGATCCACAACTATTTTTACATTAGCCTACCAACTTCAAACACTACAAGAAATGAACAAGTCTCTACTGTCTTAAGTCCTAAATCTTTGACATTTCCCACTAATATTAGACAAACCAGGCAGCAGAAATACCAAAGGATGCTATGCAACATCATGGAGTAAAAAGTGAGGTAATCTTCCTAGGGATCCAAACATTATTTCCCATAAAAATCATCACAGACTTCATCCACTGCATCAACACAGTCAAATACTGAAAAGGACAGCTAAGTTTTATGCCATGCCATTTACCCAATAACCATTTTAACTATGAATTCTGCAAGCACATGGGTCAAAGAACTTTTAGTGTTACTACAACATTGCTTGTAAACATTGCATTTCTGAAATTTAGCTATTAATTGTAGCTGGAAGGTTGAACTCTTTGGATAACAGCATATTCACGATCTATTTGATGTTTGTTCACCAATCAAATAATTAAATGGCAACAAACAACACAGATAACTTACATCACAGAAGCAATCCCTTGGGAAAAAACCCCTTAAGATAAATAAGATAGTCCTTCATTTGCCATAAAGAAACACAAGACTGACAGTTGGAGAAGTTTTTAGTGACTACTGAGAGAACAGTATCAAATACAGCGTTACCTTCATAAGTGTGATAGTTGTAGTAGGCAAAGTGATTCCTTCTCCCTGGGGTTAGAAACACATGCAGAGGACCCAGGTGAAGGCAGCACCAGCAGGACAGATACCATGCAGAAAATGCAGAGGGCAAGAAAAGACAGGAAAGGGTGAAACTGTAGCCAGACAACACCTATTCAATTTATAAGGATGAAGTTAATTAAACTCTTTCAAATTTAGAAACTGTGTGGAATATAAAGATATCAGTACTACAAAGCTACTGAATGAAACAATCCTTCTTGTTTAGAGAACTGATAACAAGCTGTTAGAAGAAAAACAGGAACAACAGGTCAGTCCCACAGGCAATGTGTGAAGCTCAGCACACAGCACTGACACCTGCGGCACTTCAGACTGGGTTTACTCTCTCTGTAAATGGGCATCTCACATTGTAATGATAAAGCACCAAATCCCACAAAGTAAGAGAACAAGAAAAGAAATCAACAGTACTATTAAAAGAACCCAAAATATTAATATGCAAATCAAACCTCAACCTGTAGAACGTGACAGTATGTTTCATATATTCTGTGTACTGATAATTTAATCTGGATTTAAAACAAATTTTTTAAAAACCCATACTATTTGACCATAAATTTAATTTCTTTTTTTCAGTTCTGAGCCAGCAAAGGCTTCAGCACCAATTTCCAACCTTGCTTCACAAAAGGTACACAACCAGACTTCAAACTGTAACATTTACTTAAATACCTGAGTGTACTCAAGTTATAGGAAAAAGACCTGTATATAAGTCAATCACCAAAAATAAAAGTCCATATCCAAATCTATAAATATGAGGATGACAGAAGTTAAGAGCATAAGTTACGTATGTTTTATCAGTAGTTGTGCTATACACAATCATCCCAGCTGTTCCTACATCACAAAATTAATTGCAAATTACCACAAATCCCAGCAAGTTCCAATTATCCCAAAATAAAACTCAGCTTGCTAGTGATTAGAAAGTTCCATATAGGCTGAAAAATGTTTCACATCTAAATTTGATTTAAAAATTAATGTTCTTGTCCTGTTAAAAAATGTGATTTTCCACATATGGCACTGTCAAATACCATGTATGCTACACTGCACTTGTGAATGCAGACAAAATCAGATTTAAGCTTAGTAAATAATTTCTCCCCCTTTTTTCACTCCAAACACTCCAAACTCCAGATTTTGATATTGCAGCAATATGCATCTCTACCTTTAGAACTGTTACCTCCAATTTAGAATCTGACACCAGAAGAACAACTCATCTGACACAGACTCCCAGCCACACAGAGTTCCCTGTGCTTACAAAGAATGTCTTATTTTTGAAAAATTCAAATGACTATACAATAATGTAATTTAGCCTGTTAGATAACCAGAATTCTTACCTGGGCTTAATTCTACCAGGTATGGTAGTTTCTCAGGAGGAAGGCAAGAGCCATAGCCAGACCCATCAACTCTTTCCTTCCCCCTTAATTGTTTTCCATCAGTTATCTTCCTGGTTTTCTTTGGGACATAATCAGGAGGCCTCCTTTTCAACTGAAAGACCAGTATTCCTAAAACACAGTATTATATATCCTTTGAGTCACACTACCACTGCATAAGCATACAACCAACATCTATTAATCTGCAAGTGTCCCATAGGATTACTTTCAGCTTACTAAGTTCCTGTCACTTCTTTAGAATAGTTTTAACTTAAAAATAACTACACACAGATTAAAAGCATACTTCAGTATAGTGAATAATATAGAAAATTTGGGATAAAATGCAACGCCTTTCTACTACCTAATGGTGTAATACCACAAACAGTGCATAATGAAACAGTAAATAACTCTAATACTCTCTAGTATTTTAAGTGTCCAAAACCAAAACACACTAAAATGTTAGAATTTCTTCCTTCACAGGGGCTCCACAACATGACTTACGACCCAAGGCACAAAAATATCTTAAAGGTTTTTGGACGTACCTTTATCACTAGGCCACTCCCTGAATATCTGCAGTGGACACTCATCATCATCAAGAATGGTTTCTTTAGCACCTTTATCATCAGAGTGCTGAGCATCAGGAGGCAGCATGACCTAAAAGGGAATTATCAGTTTCCAGAGCTGTTATTGGACTATTAGAACACTCAATGGTATATTCTCTGGTAACTTTTTTTGCATGTGTTGTTTATAAGAAGAGATAAGGCCAAAGAATTCAGTAACTTGGAATGTATTTTGTTTCCAAGATTTTTTAACACTCCTCTCTCGCCTCTTGCTACAGTTTAATTGCAATTCCCAGAACACCAAGTAAGTCTGAAAAGCAAAGAACAGCAAGTTAAAGTAGGTGAGATCTTCTTCCAGTAAAAAAACTTATTCCAATTTCTCATCAGCTAAGACAAAAAAAAAAAATCTGTGGAGATGATAGTCAAAAAACAAAACTGAACTCTCCATTATTATTTCACACACTGGAACCAGCATTTCATTTTACTAATGCCATTCTGCTAACATAACATATATATATATGTATTTAGAAAAGACACAACAAGCTGGCAAAGACTATGTTATACCTGCTGCATCCTTGTTTTACCCAAAATTTACCTGGTCTACACAAGGGACTAAGGGCACTGGAACTGGAAGCATTTCACACAACTGCTTCATGATGCCTAGCTCTAAGGAAGAAACAAAACCAAGAATACTTTTGGAACAGAACTACAGACAGTTCCTACCTTTTACAGCTATATCCTTACGAGGCAGAGGAACGGGGAAACTTTGATTCATGAAATCTGATCTTAGAGGAGACACAGCCTGTAATTTCATGCATTACTGCTCCCCACAGCAATCAAGAACAAGTAACAATGACAGGCAGTATTACAGCTATTAAAGACAGATCTTTCAAAGCTGAATCAAAAAAATAAAATAAAATATGTTGTACTCCCAACACTTGTAATCCTAACAATGTTATTTAAATTCATAGACAGTTCTATTTTAAACAAACTACTCCAAATTATTCCCATCTCTGAACTACAACCAAGGTAAGACCTTCTGAAGTTATGTAGTTGTTGGCTATGGCACCCTACTACACTGCAGCCCTCTAGAGACTTTGCACTCTCATTTGTTCCCTCCTTTCCACACCCATTTCCATGTTAACAAAGTTCTCACAGATCTACCTCAAATATCCTTTCATCTTCTTCCAGGCAGCAAACAACTAGATTTAAGTTTTAAAGGATGCAATCCCTAAACCATTTTCTATGCAAAACATGGCTAAATGTAGGAATAATTAAATTATCTTTAATTAGATTTTCAAATAGACAACATATTATAAAAGAAGGAAAACATTAAAATTTATAAACCAGAGGGAAACAGAAACACATCTACACTCAAACCTTATCTTGCCAAAGTGCTCTATTTCATATCTCAGATTTTAAAAACAATTACACATATAGGATAATTAGGGTAACACTGTGTTTCAAGCTATGTTCAAGAAGCAGCAATCTTAAAACTCCAAAACCCTTGAGACAGAAGGTAGCTAGCTACAATGCAGGAAATACATGCAATACCAAGATCTGACCAATACCGGACTGGGAAGGAAACCAAAGAAAAAACAAATGCAATGAAGCATGCAGAAAATACAAACTAAGAAATGTAAATGAACACCACAGCAACTTCAGACTTAACTTTCTTAACAATTGTTGGAATAAACAAGTAAGAGAAGGTATTTGAGTATTATGCCTTCTGTGATAAGTAATACCTAGAGATCAAATTATCAGACCCATACTTAATAAATGTCTCACATGAGAACATCCCATGCTGCAACAGGTCTTCAATAAGCTCTTCTGTCATTGTAATGTTTTTTAAGTAAAAACCCTCATATCTACAGTATGTTTGAGTATATCTGGTTATTGTGATTAATTAATCTACAGTTTTCCTTACAAGCTGGGATCACAGGCTTTGCACATGCCCCTACTAAAACAAACAAACAACCCAAAAAAGAAAACCTAAGAAAACAACAGCAACAACACACAAAAAAAACCACAAAACCCCCCCAATGGATCTTGCTAAAATACTTAATGTCTTATGTCTGTAACAACTACTTCTTAAAAAAACCCAATAAAACTACTCACCATTAAATACATATTTTTGCTTGACATAACAAGAAGTTATTTATGCCTTACCCTCAAGTCAAAAATAAGTGCATGCTAAAAACAAAAGTCTAATCAAGATTCTGCTTTCAAGAGTTAACTGGTTTGCTGCATGCCTGAATGCCTTGAGTGAATATGCACAGGTAGCTTGGAAGACTGTCTAATTAATTTGACATCTTCAGAGAAGTGCAGTGAACCCCACGTTATTCAGGGAAACTCAAATGAAGCAAACTGAAACAAACAAAACACACACATTGGAAGAAACTGTTGTCTATTCGCTTAAACAGAAAAGCGCTTTAGAACTAGGAATAAAGGTACAGCCTGATGCACTGCAAACCAACGTATGAAAGCAAACAACCAAAAGCAAAGTGCCATTTACAGTAAAAGTTGTCAAAACTGTTATGAAAAAGTCTTACAATGTTTATCTTTCAACTGAAACTTCAGGAGCGATTTTTGTTACAGTACTTATACAGCATTATAATGGTCTTGTCCTGTAATTTAAAATTTATCTCAACTATTAAGTAAATGTCAGCTGTTTAAATCTTCAAAGAAAACACTGCACCTGGCACTCAAAGAGAACAAAATGTTTCACAATCCCAACTAGTAAGAAACGGAACTTGTATGTTCCACTGATAATGTATGTTCCAGCTGAACTTAACAAAATGTAAAGAATAAGAACATGCGCAGGACTTGTCTTACACAGAGTACTGTAAAGTGCCAGAAGAACAGGGACAAAAACCAAACCAGGGGCAGAGAATAGCTGTGAGACTTCAGTATAAAGGGAGTGCCATTGGACAAATTTAGTGGTGCATTTTTGTGTTTCCAAAAAAGACAACAGTGATTAAAGACACATCAGGCTAATTCTTGGGTATTTTCATGTTTCAAGCAAGGACAGCAACTTCGTAAAATATCTGGAAAAAAGTAGATTTTGAAATCTAGAATTAAAATACTCTATTAATAAAAGAAGAATTAACATATTAAAAACCAAGCACTGTATCAGCAGAGGATGGCCAAGTAGATTTTAGCCAGCTACAACAACTTACTGTGAGCAAATAAGGTCTGCCGCACTTAAGAGTTATTAAAACAGATCTGCTATTGGTCAGTGAAGACCATTCCTGTATGCCAAATGTAAACATAAGCACACAACTGATATCAGTTCAGACATTTACTGTATGAAGATGCGTTACCCAGGAAACACAAAATATTTTCCAGAAGTATTCCCAAAAAACTAATATAAAATATTTCTTTTGCAGCAATGACTTCATTAACCTTTGCCAAGATCAAAGCAACATTCCCCAAACTATTTTCTACATTAAACATCCCTACACAAGATCAGAAAATACAATCTAAGGGGGAACACCACCACTACAAAAAGAGTAACTTTTAACAGTTCCTGGGTAAAGGTGCAATTAGTCCAACAAACTCCCCAATACTCAAAGATTTTTTTTAATATATCATAAGTCTAAACTAAGCAGAATGAAGTAAAACTATCTTCCAAATTCAGTCTCAGTGTCTCTGCTGTAGCCCATGATTCTCCCAAACCACCACAGTATTGTAAGAAACAAACTGTTTTCCCATTTTTCCAACATTTTAAGGAGCAAAAAATGCAAGTTTATTAGACATATATATCTATATATATATATAGCCAAAAATGTAATCAAACACTGGACTCAAAAAAGGATCAATATCTTCAAGCCTCACCGTTTTCCCTGAGAAGACAACATGGTCAGAAGTTTGTAATCTTCAATCACTACTGCTCATGGGATTTTTGATTAAAGCTGCACCTCTAAGAAATAACAATTCTATGCAATTTGTTTAGAACTCCTAAAATAATTAAATTCTGAAATTAAGAGTGTCACTTTAATATTTTCTGCTTTCTAGGGAGGGTCGGCTACAAGTGCAAGGTTTAAAGAAACAGTACAAAACATACACCTTTTACAATGGAGCTCACCTCAGCACTTCCACTTCAGAGTGGACACTCTTAGTTAAGGGAAATAGTTCTGTGCACAGACTTAGGTATCCACAGGATAAACTATTAGTTTATATGTTTGTGAATCATTTAGTGGTATAAAACCCGTAAAAGTGCACAATGAAGAAATATGTCATTTTCAGTATTAATGTTTTCCTGTACAGCAAGCAGTAATTTAGTACAACTGGAAGATTAAAGTTTTAAAAACAAAAAACCTGACATGTCACTTCACAATTCCTGTTAGATTTGGGGGGGGGAGGGGGAGAAAGTTAGTCACGGAACTAACTGAGTCATTCTATTTAGCTTAGAAGCTACTGTAAGAAAAAAACAAACAACCAAATATGAAATGTGAGATGATTGTGCTTTAGTAACTTACACGAGCAATACAATAATCCTTGGGATTTTCTTTTTCCAGGCCATATTTTTCCAGTGCTTCAATAACTGCAAAGTCTGCAGTATCTGTAGTGGACAGCAGGATTGTCTTGTACGGTATATTTGGTTTTAAACTGTCTGCATAAATTCTCAGCGTCCCACCTTGGAAACCAAATGGAATTAACAATGCAACCACAGAATAAAAAGACAGACAAGAAGTAATTCATTATATTTCTAACAGAATATAAGAACAAACCCTTTCAGAAATCATTTAATTACTCTACTAATACAAAAAAAAATTATGTAACATCCAGAAAATAGATTTATCTCTCCACTGGTAAAAATCTCCAGTGATATTTGTATAATTTAGCTAATGAAGTGTTTTCCCAGTGTTTCACCATGCTTAGTATTACATGAAGTTAAAATTAAATAATGTCAATGACTGGTTGAAGAACAGACCTTTACCCTGTCAGGAAGTCTGTGCTGACCTCCTCTTTCTTTAACAAGCCCATGATTTCCTTCAGGACACCTCTTTCTTCACTACTCTTCCATGGACAGAATACATAATTTCAGATTTTAGCAGTTGCAACATAGCTTCATTTGTTCTTTTCTAATGGTATGTATACAACCATTGTTGTTATATCCCCATCCCATGAATGACAAGTACTTAATCACTATTATTCACAAGATGTACCAGAATCCTTTATGTAGAACAATCAGTTCTTTACATCCTTTATTTAATCTACTGATTAAATTTTCTATCAGGTCGTTCAGCTGATTCTTAGTATAAGGAATGTCAGTTATCTCAGCCAACCTCCTCACTTTGCCAGTCTAAGTCCATCCTTCCTCTTTTTCCCAGTTTAGCACTGTTAGCAAGCTCAATGAGCACACTCTCTCTCATCAATCTGAAAGCTTCAACTCACACTCACCATGGAACACTCCCCTGTGGAATCCTACCTTCACAAACCCTTTGTTCAGTTACACACCAGATAAACTAGCCATGTGCAAAAAATGTTGGCGAAAGCAAAAGTTAAGTCAAATGTACAGGAGTTGCTGGCCTTAAAAATATTATCTTGGTAAAATGTTTACTGCTTATAACTGAACCAGAAGAACTTCAAGTACCTGAGTCTGGTCTGCCATCAGAACTGCGAAACTCCTGCATTCTCTTCTCTAGTTTTTGCTGTCGTCGCCGTTTCATAACCACCTCAGGATTGGATATTGTGCGAGTGAAGCTGGTCTCAGGCATGTCTTTGTAAACCTCAGCTGCAAGGCGAAAATTCTCACTGCCAAGTTAGTTTAAATAAAAAGAATGTCATTAAGAGCTTAAAACAGACACATCCTTATTACTTCACATAGGATAAAAAAGCAATAGGATTCATAGACACAGGAGCTCATCTAAGTTATTCTAAGATGGTTTCTACATGAAAATAACTTTTGCTACGGTTAATGTGGTTCATATACCCATGCTCACCTGATATACAAAAACAATTTAATGACTACTAGCTGCTAGTTTTCAAAGAAAACAAGAAGTCTTCTCCTCTTTTACATGGGGATAGGGAGAAAGGCATTAAAGAAACTTTACATTATACTCCTAACTTTGTTATGGTTTCTAATACCGCAAAGCATGGGAAAGCTGAGTGAGCATGCGCTTGCAAGTCACGCTTTTTCTTTTGCAAATGCACTTAAAAACAACTATTATTTAAGTGTTAAAAAATAAGTTTATACCACTTACATATCATCCCCATGAAGAAGTCGATCATCTTTATCTGAAGCTTGTCGCAATGCCTCTTTTTCACGCCTCTTTTTTTCTTTTTTTTCTTTTTTTGAGAGAGTTCGCTTGAAATTCTGAATTACTCCCTCTTTTTCTTGTTTTTCAGGCCCATTACTCTGAGCTTTCTGAAATAAATGAGTTTAAAACAGCTTACAACAATTTCAATCCAAAGAAAAGTTAGCATTGGTTTTAACTTTGCAGATGAACCTGTTTAAGACACAGTCTCATGACCCAAAACCAACACTCCACTACACAGCAATGGGACTAATGTTCTCAAGGAAAACACAGAAAAGGCAAATATAATGTCATGTTCCAAAGAAGGTACAAACTAATTGTACTCAACAAAGTGAAGAAACTGCACAATTTTACTTGAATAATGCCTGCTATATACTTGGCCTCAAAAGATTAATGAAGCTGCAAAACAAATTTTTGCTTCTGAGTAAAAGTACTCTGTAACAATGTTGTGCTTAATCTGCTTTCAAGGCAACTTTGTTGGAGCACCAGACAAGAATAAACTGCAGAAGGAAAAACATTACAGAAGACTTTTCCCCAATGGTATATTTCTTTAAGTCGTCATTCCAGTGTTGTCTTCTTCAAGTCCTACTCCTTACATACACAAGATACCTGTAATCCTAGGCTCATTTGCCGTCTGTAGAGAAGATTACAGAGCATGAGAGAAAGAAGATACAGATTTTCTCACTTCTATCACGAAGCGAATAACAGAGTGGGAAGATTGCAAATCACTTAATTCAATTAATAGGAATAGCAGGGTTTGTACATGTAGTGCAAGGCATCATTAACTTTCCCTTCTGCCCTGTAACATAGATGTATCCTGTAGTCAAACGCCCAGTACAAGCTCACGTCCCCATATCCAAAGCACTTCTAAAGTTAACAAGCTCTAGTTCCAAAAGCAATGGAAATTTAATGCTCAGCAGAAGACCAAAAACTTGCCTAAAGATAGACCACACTGAACTGCATGTTTTCCATAGCTATAGGCAACCAAGCTACATATAATATATATAACTATATGACTTCACAACCCAAAGTCTAATCTAATTTAATGTTTAAATTGCTAATATTAAAGCAAATTTTTGTACAGCGGACGTTGGCAGCTAATTCATTTTGCATTTGTAAGAGAAAAAATAATCAAAAATAAAAAAAGCAAAAAAGCAAAACCAAATCAAATCAAACGCTGCACAAAAGGAAAAAGTCTTCCATCATTTTTTTCAAGAAACAGAACATTACCTAAGGAGATAATAATTTTTAGCTCTTTAACTCTCCCTGGCATTCTCTTTTAAAAGCTTTGCAAGATGCAGGATTACCTCGTGGTATGTGGCACCATATACTATATGAGGTATTTTTCAAGTCATCATAATAGAACAAAGCAAGTTTTAAGATCTCTAGGCATGCTCCAGCACTAGACAGCTACATGAATCACAGCGTCACCAGCCATCAAAAGATAACAAAAATGCTGTGTTGCAAAGACGCAGGTTAAGTATTTAAAAATACTTCCTCCAGATATTGAAGGTCATGAGCAACAGTTATTTTTGGGAATTAGAAAAGTGAAAGTTATGTTTTCCCATATAAGCAAACTCCAGAGAATTCAAAACTGCTGCTAGCACTAGCATGCTCTGTAAAGACTCACCTTTGGAGGAAGTGTATCATTTTCATTCTTTAGGACAAACCTTCCCTCGCGATCATCTTTGTTCCAGTTCAACTGTACAACAAGAGGCTTCTCATCCACATCTAATCTTCTTTCTTCTTCAAAAAAATGAAAAGCAGTAACAGTTACTTGGTATCTCAAGAGCAAAGACACTTAAAAATAAGCTTTTAAAAAAACCACAAGGTTTGATTAACAGAACACATCAGTTGATGTTTTCCTGTTAAGTACAGGGACAGAAAGAAAGTTCGGGAATGTAGAATTAATTACACATCCCCTTTAGAGCAACAAGCTTATTCCATCTATTTACGTAAGCTAAATGTCCCCATAAGGTAGTCTCGCATAACTCCTTTGTCAGAACTAAGTCTCGGAATACAACATTACCACTCTGGAGGAGAAGTTAGATTTAGAGTTGAAATGTTTAGAACTTTGTAACATCCTGGGTCTTGTAAATACTCATTTTAAATTTACTTTAAAGCAGACCACAGTCTGGTTGCAGCCCAAGAAATACTATCCTAAAACGACTTCACAAAAATAAACAAGATTACAAAATTTAAATAATAAAACAAATCAAAAGCCCTCACATTATTCAGATCCAAGACAAAATTTCATTTAGAGTATTACATCTATTTTAAGTATACAGAAAAACAACTGACAGAGTGGTTAAAACACTTAAGCAAGTCTTGCCATTTGATTTTCCCTTTGAAAAGAAGGAGACAGTACATATGCCCAGGAAAACAACGATGTCTTTGTGGTTATTTTTGTTTAGAAAGAAACACTACCATTGACCTTGCATGCCTCAATCACCTTTTAAAAATCAGGAACTTGCTGTGCAAAGAAAACAACTTCATTTTGACTATAGGTACAGCACTAACAGACTTTTAAAGAAATCGAAGGCAGAAAAAAATGAATTATTTTCAGTCTTTCAAATGCAGAATTCAAGGTTGTTCAAGCACTTGTGTATACTTCTAAAGTACAAAAATAAAAAACACAACCAAAAGATAATTTCTCCTTTATCTGTCTCCACCACCACCACCACACACACTATCACCTTCTGATCTAAATAGACAAATTTTAATAGTACAAAAGGGTATTTAGATATCCAAGTCCTTCACAGGTAACATTAGAGGATCTGTTTAAGAAACACAATGGCTTCAAACAATATTAAGCTGAACTTCCCCCAGTTCAGCAGTGAAAGAACATGAGTTACAAGGCTACCATCATAGGCCCACAATTTCAAAGAACCGAAGATGTACTCTCAACTGCTCTAATTTAACAATACTAGTCTCCCATTATAGATTTAGTCTTTACCTACTAATCCTAAAAATAGCAACTCTCCCACAAATGCCAACAAACTAACAGGATGTCAATCACAGCATTTTATAGATCATAATCAAATCTTACATTAACTACAGGCCTGGTATATATAATTAAGTTTTGAAACCAAAACTCCCCAAAAAAGTTTTGAAACCACACTCCCCAAAAAACAATTAGTAACAACATATTTAAGAATTAAAAACCCAAGTCTCACATGGTTCAGAAACTGAGGGCAAACTTAAAGATACTTTGGCTGGGAGTATACACGATGGTGGTGTAGATGCAGGAAGGACTTAATGAATAAATACAAACCTCCGCTGACATGCACTTCATAAAGTGAGTATTTAGGGGATGACAACATTCGCATATCTGGTCGAAACTTCTCTGCAAGAGTTTCTATTACATCTTGAGTTGTGGCAGTACTGGAGACACGGATACATTTTGTTGCAAAATTTCCAGCTGCTTTGTCTTGGAAGTAGAATCTCATTACTCCATGAAACTCGAGATCCTGTAAAGAAATAAAAATACAAATCTGAGTGCCAGCTAACAGTTATAAGGTTCAGAGTTCTTTTAATATTTGTTATAAATTTATTATGAAAATATCAGACCTCCAAATATCATACTGGTTTTCAAAATTTTCGTAGTTTTAAAAACCAGGACACTATAAACTTGGACAGGTACCCTGCAAAATGAAATTAAGGACTATCTATTACTGAAAATACTGAACTTGAACCTTTAGGTATTCAAATTTACAGCTATATTCAGGAGAATTAATAAAACATCTTTTCTAAAACCTAGAGACACTTCTTGAAGTCTGAGAACAGGTCCCTGCAGCCCGAATTTGTAAAATTGCATGCTCAAGGAACAGCAGCGTGTCTTGATGAGAACAGCTTGCTGTCACAGAACTCACAGGATCATCTTTTCTCTCCTCTTTTCACCCCTTCATGCATTCCTCTCTCATGCTAGCATCTGTTTATCCCAGAAGCAGCCTTTTAAGGAAGCTAAACCATTTGACATGCTTGTATTTTTTATTTTAAGAAAGATTAGTCTTTGGTACAGCTCCCTAAACACTCTGTGCGAGGAAAAAAGCTTCAGCACCAACACAAGGTGAAGGAAAGGACTGCAGCTGTCAGCCAGGTGGCTACACTAAAACTGCAAAGGCAATTTGCTCAAACTACTGTAAATTCACATCCTCAAGTGTTTTCCTTTGCCACTGGAACCTGTGCTGTACTGCAGCACACCAAACTTCAGGAGGATACTGTCTGCTTATGCTAGTCCACTACCTGTCTGAACAACTCCAAATTAAAATTTTAGTTCCCCAACCCGGCCAACTTTTGCCCCTTGCATAAATCCCAGCAATCATGGGGCCCTGCACTCAAGGGGAATGAAGGATATTTAAGTCTCCAGTTGACTTTGCCAAGTTTACTCTACAGTACTCCTCCTGTCTTCACTCTCCAGAGGCTTTGAAATAGGCAAATCCTTAGTTGTTGAGCACAGTGATAGATTTTATGCTAGGCACACCCCTTTCCAGTACTACATCTGATCACAGGACACACATCACAATGCTTCTGATATTTACTGAAGCTACTCTATCATTCAGAAAACCTTTGCAAAAAGAAAGGAAAAAACAAGAATATTTTAAAAGGAATTAAAAAGTCAAATAACCTACACTTAGACAAACATCTATGTCACCTAGATACATGCAGAAATAAGCACTGTTCTTCTCAGGATATTACCAAGCCTACACCAACACAGCAGTCCAATGAAATGCACCATGGACCTCAACAATGGCCAATTGTGTTTTGTTCTCTGTTGTTATCTGAACAATTTACAGAATTAATCTTTCTGAGCCTGCACTGCTGTTCCCACAGAACTATGTATTGTACTTCCAAACCAGTGCTCCTTGCTGCAAGAAGTTACAGTTCCCACATTCCTCACTCCAGCTAACTCCCACCTCTGCATACACTCTGAACTTAACTGCAATTTATATAACCGTGGGTATAATTCTTCAGCTGTGAACATTTTTGTTACAGCTACTACTCACCTCTCCAAAGTATCCTAACTACTTCATTTCTTGCCTTTAACTATATATACTGAATTATTAACTAATTATCCATTCAAGGACTATCCCTCTCATGCAGAAGGCTACCAAATGACTTCTGGAAATCCTACCTACCATAGTGAATTGGAGCTTCCTTACATGTGTTCTTGCTAACTCTTTCAATAAGTTCCAATAAGTTCAATAAGTTTCAATATTTCAAAAAGGACTGAATCACAACTTCTTTTCTAAGTCCTGTTGACCTTTCCACAGTCTATTATAACAGACACCATGTGTCCATGAATTCTGTAGGTTAATGCAGCTTCTTCTCACACAGAAGATCACCAGTGAACGTCCTTTGTAACACTGGTTTCACAGTGCATTTGCATCCAACGACCTGAAGGTGTCCACCTAACAGAGCCATTACAGACCACTCAGTAAAATTACTTCATCTCTCACTTCCTCCAGTTATTGGATGAAGATTCTCTAGTTCTAGTAACTTGCTTTCTTGTCTTTTTCTCTTAACAAATACTGATTTGAAAGCATTCTTCAATTTTTTTTAATCTCATGCTTTTATATTCTACTTGTGAGATTTTATATCCTCACAATTTCCCTCATTTGGATACTACTCCAGCTTTCTAGTAACTATCTTTGCCTGATGTTCAGTCATGCCAGCTTCCTTTCACACTTACCTTGATAGCTGGCATGCTTTTGGTCTGTACCTCCAGCATAGCATCTTTAACCCTCAGCAGGCATAAGTATCTGGGTACTTACTTGCCCCTTTCAGCTTTACCAAGCCTTCCTAGGGCCGGTATGCTGCATTTCCAACTAGCATGGAAAATTCTGTACTTTTTGCAAAAAAACAAATCTAAGATTGTCATGATCTCTAGAAGGGAGAGCATTCTCATAGGTAATAGTCTGAGCACGCTTTTGTGCGGATTTGGTTTAAATGGTTACCTCTCCTGCTAATACTCCTTAACCATGATGCTTCACAAAACAGCCACGGTATTTTTATAATCAACTTTAATCTCAATCCACTTGTTTGATATTTGTAAAAGACAACACATAAGCCTTCTGCAGCAGTATCCTGAAGCACAATCATGTCTCGTTTGGAACGTTTATTTCCCTTTATACAAGGTTTTCCCCACCACCATCTCAAGGTAGTGCTGAAGCAAGAATTTTAGAAGAGAAAGATAAGCACATTCCTAATATTTTCCATACATTATGTACTGCGTGAGTACATAATGAGATAAGATTCAAGTAGCTTTTTTCAAATTTTATTTTTTTTTTTTAGGGAGAGCAGATTATTTTACTGAGGACACTCTCTTGCCAAGTAGACATGCCTTTAATTTGCAGATTTTTTAACACAATAGAGATTGAAGAGCAAGGGAATGGAACACAGGTCCATTCAGAGAAGATGTAAAAAACAATCCAAGAAGCCTTCTAAACTACCATGTTTGTTGTTGTTGTTGTTAATATTAGTAATATCAATAATAATAATAATGAAAGTTACAACTTCTTTCTACTTCCAGGTACTAACTAAAAGCAGACAAAACAAAAGTACATTTTGGATTCTCAAGATACAATGTCTGTATAAGCAAGTTTTGTTTTCATTTTCCAAAAGAAGTAATGCATTTTTCTAATACTGCCATTTGACAATCTGGATACAAAAACAAATGAATGCAGTGGCCACTGCCTGTCCATTTCCCCCAACCTCTTCTACAGCAGAGTCTCAAGCTGTGTCCTTGTCCCCTCCCCGCTACTTTTTCCAAAGTTTTCTGTTAAAAAAAAGAAAAAGACTGCACAACAGCATCACAATCTTCTAGCACTTCCCCATATAAAAGTCCTTTAAATGTTTTATTTCCATTATGTTCCAAACTGTACCTTGGGGCATTGTTTATACCATTACAGCTTTAAATAAAAATATTTGATGACACGGATGTAATTGGTTTCACATTTCAGAAAATAGGAAACTAAATAACAAAAAAAAAAAACAAAACAAAAAAAAAAACCTTCAAGTTTTTGATATTGCATTTGTGTGTGTGTGTATAGCTGCAGTTCAAGCCATATTTAACTTTTTGGCCACGTGCTTAGCAGATAAATCCCAACTACACACAGACAGATGCCACCACTCAAACAACAAGGTAGGCACCGCGCTTAAATTTCCACTCTCCACTCTAACTCTGCATTAAAGTGCTTATTTTTCAGTTTTGTGTTTCATCCTCAAACTCATTCACTACTGAATTTGTCAAGACTGCTGGCACGTTCACTGCAGTTTATAATATGAACTTGTGTCAAGAAAAGAGGCTAAAGAACAAAAATTGCTTGTCCTAAACCAGGTAGACACAGAAGTATCTATTATTCCCTGATATATTGTAAGCAAAGGAATCTCCCCAAAACACAATCTCCACAAGATGGTTTCTCTTGAAACCATCTTTCTCCAAAGATAAGAACTGTAATTTCTCATTTAACAAAAAGAAATTAAAATGTTTTCTGGATTTCAAGAGTGACTATTTACTTAAGTGTATGAGCACTCCTAAATTCCTCTCAGGAGTTTATAAGCATGATAAGTAATATTAGTTCTATTATCTGATCACGTTTGATATTTTATGTATCTGCTGTGCAAGTTCATGTAGGCTTATGTAGAAATGAAAGGATACAGACCAGTCTTCAGCCATACAAGTACAGTCAATTTTCACAAAATTTTAATTCTGATCATCTAGACTGCAAAATATATTTTGAAGAGCATAGAGTGAAAGTCAGCTTTTTAGGCCTTTCAAATCATAAAGGACACTTTCCTCAAATACAAAGCATAATTATTCCTTTTTATCAGTATCAAATGAAGTTATGGTAGTTTCCAAAAGCATATCCTACTCAAAAGGTTTCAACTTACACAATAGTTGCCAGTTAACCATCATTTCTTGGTTTTACAAACCAAGTAAGCTGCACCACCTCCTCATCAGGCACAAAGGAAAGAGTTTACAGAAGCATTTCAAATACCTAGTTATGATTTTTTGCATAAAGTCAATGACAGGCAGTAACGGCTTCAAAACCAATGGAACAAATGTTCCAAAAGTGTGTCTTCAGAAAACAAAAACACACAAAAGCGTCAGAATGAAACATCTGAAACACTTTCTCAAACTGAAACTACTTCAATATTCTACAAAATCTTGTGAAATGCTTTGATTAAGCATTCTTAGAAAACATCTGCCTTCTCAGTGCTATCATTCTCCTCTCACATTCTCCTTGAGGAGCTTGGACCATCATTAAATGAAATAGAGAACTATGAAAGCAGGAAGCAAACAAACTTTAATACATAACAAAGGCAGCCACACAGAACACCCAAGTCAGATTTAAAATTGAAGATGTGAGGTACAAGTTATCACATGAATTCTCATCAATGTTTTCCATGAGGCTTCACAAAAGTGACTCCTGTTTCTCAAAACAGATTGATCTTTAAATCTAGTTCC